CCTCCTCCTCCTCCCTCCTCTTCCTCTTCCTCCTCCCACTTCACTCCTTGTTTCAACTCTTCTGTACATACCTATCAAGTTTCAAAACACAGTCCAAAGCGTGTTTTGCCTGGAAAGTACGTCAACATCTTCCCTCCTCCTCCTCCTCCTCCTCCCTCCGCCATGATCCTCATTCCAACTTTCCCCGTTAGCCTCCTTTCTCCCTCACCTTGTTAATGTGACACCATTGGAAGGAGGCAGGAAGGATGAGATAAGTCAACGTATCCCACAGAATGTGCTGCCCATCCTTCAGCGCCCTCGTCTCCTGTGACTCCTCCTCACACCTTCACATCCAGCTCCGTGTAAACTTCATGCATCGCTTCGAAGGCCCCGAGCGTTCTGTACAGCTGACGTGCCGAGTCAGATGAAGATCAGGGCTGTGAGGTTGTTTGAAAGCATCACAAGCAGAACATCTACATGTTGAGGGAGGAGACAACAACAGGCATGAAGTGGAAGGCAACGACAGGCTACATTAGTAGTTGATACACCAAGAGCCCGACCTCACCTTGAGGAGAAGTAATTTGAACTGAAAGTTGGTCGGAGAGACATGCAGCCCCCACCTTAAGACATCGTGAGCAAGAGAGACAAAGATGGGGAGCAACAAATCTTGACCGGGCGACGATGCTGGCGTCCACCAGATAGCACTCATCTCTAGTCTGGCAGAACTTGTCGAAGAGCAGTCTTGCTGCGAGCATCTCTTGTTATCGATCCTCTCTCTTTCTCTCACTCTGCTCACCAGCAACCAGCGTGTTGTCGTCCGACGGTGTTCTAACATAACGAGGGAACGTCACATGCGAACATCTCTTGTTTCTCTCCTCTCCGCTCTCACCGATCTCGAGGGTAACCGGGCTTTCTCTTCAGCCTCTTGACGCAAGAGAGGGCAGCATGCAAGTGCTCCTGCACCTCTGCCAGCCAGTCAGGAGCGTACAAGGTGCAGAGATCTTGTGCGGAGAAAGTAGAACAAACCTTGTCTGAACTTGGAGTCGTCCGACACGATCGATGTGTGCAAACCCAGCATCCTTGATATCTTTGTCATCGTTCCGAATCGCAAACAAACGCTCTCAAGGTCGTCCGAGGCGTCTTTGTGCGGCCCTGAGCCACCGAGAGTCTTGAGCTTGTCCATAATGATCTGATGTTGATCGACAGGAAACCTTTCATCACCATCGTTAAGATCATTGTCATGGTTATGATCATTGTCATCATTATCATCACTAAAGACAGGAATGTCCTCGTCAAAATCATCGTAAACCGTCGCACTTTCATACGGCACCTATGTGCATATTGTTGCGTTGGTACCACCTCATCTCAGCTCATCTCATCTCATCTCATCTCATCTCATCTCATCTCATCTCATCTGACCTCATCTCATCTCACCTGACCTGACCTGACCTGACCTGACCTGACCTGACCTCATCTGACCCGTCTGATCTGATCTGATCTGACCTCACCTGACCTCACCTCATCTGAACTGATCTGATCTGATCTGATCTCACCTCATCTCATCTCATCTCATCTCATCTCATCTCATCTCATCTCATCTCATCTTATCTCATCTCATCTCATCTCATCTCATCTCATCTCATCTCACCTTTGCAGGGGAACCACCAGGTCATACGCACACATGTCCTTCGTGCAGAACATTTCCACATAACTGCAGCAACATTAAAATCTATTCCATCAATTTCCGTCTCCCTCCCTCCCTCCCTCCCTCCCTCCCTCCCTCCCTCCCTCCTGCTCCCCTCCACCATGGTCCTCTCCCTTACCTGTACACTGCATCGATGGACTTGCCCAGGATGTCTTTGTGGATACTCAGGTGCGCAGGGCAGAAGGCGAGCAGCCTGGTGTAGAGCTCCACAGCGGCGAGATGGGGAGTTCGGGACTTTATCTCTCCAGTTTGATGCTCAATGAGAAATGCAATCATTTTCTCCCCCTCCTGCTCATCAGAGATCAGTCAACCACCTCCCCGCCTCTCCTCCCACCCATCCTCTCTGCCCTGCCCTCGTTCTATTCATGCTTGCCCCCCCTCCCCTCCTAATTCTGATCCTCCTTCTCTACCTTCTGACCATCTTTCGTCCCCATCCCCACCTCCGTTCCAACCTCTATGAGCCTCAAACCTCCCTCAATCATCACATCCCTCCCCCCTCCTCCCTCCTCCTTTCTCTCCCCCGCTTCCTCTCCTCCGCTTCCTCTCCCCCGCTTCCTCACCTGCATAATCCACTCGAAATCCTCCTTCGGGTTCTCAACAGGAGCGATAGTGATCGACATCCCACCGACACTTCCTCCCTGAGGAGCGTTGGAGGGAACGGGAAAGTTCTGCAGCGTCCCGGTTTAGAGGAGGAGTGAAGGGAGAGAGTTGACAGCAGGGACAAATTGCAAGGATGCGACGCGATGAGGAGCGGAAGAGGCAGTGAGGAGGCAGGAGGAACTTGACGGGAGGGGGGGGGCGGGAAGCGAGCGGAAGAGAGGGAGGTGGAGGTGGAGGTGGAGTGGACGGGGAGAGGGAGGTGGAGGGGGAGGAGGAAGGGGAGGGGGAGGGGGAGTGGGAGGAGGAAGGGGAGGGGGAGGGGGAGAGGGAAGGGGGAAGGGTGGGGGAGGGGGGGAGGGAGGAAGGAGGAAGGAGGGGGAGAGGGAGGGGGAGGGGGAGGGACAAGAGAACGAAACGGTCTCCCGATACCTTTTCCTTCATGATACAATCAAGAACCCCCCGCACGTGTGACCATTCTTCCTTCCCCTTCACCTGCTCCATCTGGTTAGCTCTGCTGTTCCTTCTCCCTTCCTCTTCGTCTCCCCCTTATTCCCTCCCTCCCTCCCTCCCTCCTTTCCTCCCTGATTTCTCTCCCTCCCTCCTCCTCCTCCTCCTCTTGTACCTGCCCTTCGTCCACGGTCATCAGCTCCATGTACACTGCCCGCGCCTCCTTCCAGTTTCCGTTGTTGAAGAGAAGACTACGATACAATCACAACTTCTGCTTCTTTCCTCCATAAAGATGTGAAAGATAGTAAGGGAGAAAGAGGTATAGTGACCGAGCGAGCGAGGTAGGTAGGTAGGTAGGTAGGTAGGTAGGTAGGTAGGTAGGTAGGTAGGTAGGAAGGGTGAAAAGGAGGTTTCAGGATTGAGAAAAGGATGAAGGAGGGCGGGGGTACCGAGCTTTAGTCTGCAATCTCTCAATCTTGGACGTGTAGTTGTCACCGATGGGGCTCTCAAGCATCTGTCGACAAGTCTCGTCAACTTGGGACAACATAGAATGGAAACGAGCGCAAGGAGGTACTCTGAGCTACCGACAGACAACCTCATCCTCGCACCTGGACGGCCTCAGCCAACTTGCCCTGTCGCTCGAGGATCTCAAGGTAGAGCCGCATCTCCTCGTATGTGTCTGAGCAAGCTGGTGAGGAGGAGGGGAGGGGCGGACAAGCCTCGTCTCACTCAGCTTCGACTCTTCTGCTCTCTTCGCCATCTGTCGCTCTGCGTGCGAGTGTGAGGAGAGGAGCAAGTCAGCAGCGAGCGTCTCTACCTGTGAGGAACAGCAGTTTCGGAGGAGCTCCTTCCATCACCTTCATGCCCATCAGTCCCACTTGTCACTTCAGTTCTCGCCGCAGCCTCTTTCTTACTTGTAGTGTGGTAGCAACGATCGCCCACAGCGCGTACTGCTCGCGGCCAAACTGTTTCTGCAACTTCTGAGCGAGCTGTTCCGAGGCTATCAGGGGAGTCAATCAGCTCATTCCGTGCGTCCTAACCTGTTGCTGCTTCAAGAAATCTCTTTCTCTCCCTGTACGAAGATCAGCAAGCAGCACCAGCAAGTCAGACACAGAAGCCTTCCTCTCACCATATGCGGCGAACAAGCACAAGGCAAGCTCCTCATTGTTCGGCTCCTGCTCTAAGTCAGGTCATGGCTCGACCTTCCCCTTGACTCGCCTTGTTCAGAGCACTCTTGAAACATTCCGTAGCTTCTGAAGCTGATCCGCATAACGTCAGCATCCCCTCCTCTCCTATTATTATTCTCTTCACCGGCTCCAGCTTCTCGGAAGACTATCGCAAGATTGTTCAGCAAAGTCTCGTCCCCTTCCACCTGTAGGCGGGTGAGGTCAACAATATTCTTGTTCAGCTCTCTCACTTGTCTTTGCGCCTTCAGCTCATGTGCCAGCTGCAGAGCTTCCTCCTTCCCTTGCTGTCAGCGCGTCGCACTAGCTCCCCTCTTCCCTCCTGACCTTCTTCCCTACCCGCACAAGGGCCAGGGCCTTCAAGATGAGCAGCTGTGGGTTTCCTGCCGACCATGGGTGAGGAGAGATGCGTGAGCTCATGGCGAGCCACCAGCTTTCTTCTGCAGGAGAGGACCGAGAAGTTTCAACGCCTGCTCCAGCTCATTACCTCAGCCCATGGCGCCTCCTCCCCTTACCTGCTTGTTCTTCCTCATCTCGAGGGCTTCGTAGACCGCCCTGACCTGCCATGGTTCGCAAGTGACAATGTAATACTGCTCTCCTCCTCCACACAATGTGCTGAGCATCACAACGTGACGATCGTCGCACCTTGCTGGATATGTTGCTCATGTTCTTCGATGGCAAAGAGCCCTGAGGTCCCGAACCGACGGCGTTCAACCCTGGCAAAGAAGCGCTTCAGTTGCTCCTCTCAGGTTTGATCCCCATGTCCCTCTCTTCATTCAGATCGTTGAAACAGTTTCACACCTCACATCGCCTGCTCTCACTTTCCTCTAGATGTCAAGAAACTCGTAGCTTCCCATCTCGTAACACGAAATCGCCTCTACTCTCCTCCTGGCCTTCCTGCCATCATCCTCCATGCTCGTCTCTTCTCCTACCGAGTCCCGATCTTACCACCCTGTTTCCTCCTCCTCCTTCTTCTCCTCCTCCTCCTCCCTTCTCTCCTCCTTCCCTCTCTCATTCCCTCCACCCCCGACAAAGAATTCTGCATGAAGCTCGTGGCATTGTCGTTATCCGTCGTTACGTTACGGTTGTATACGGTTACAAATCCACTGGAAATCTCAGGGGTAGGCAACGCAAAGGGTCATCCAATGGGGGTACATTTACAAAGCTTTTCCCTTCAAGCAAGGGGTATATGGATTGTCGGTGGGGTGGGTAGAAGGGGTGGGGCGAATGGCAGAGGGGGAGCGGCATGGCTGGGAATTATGTGCTTGTTTTTTGAGGGAAATGGCGAGAGGGATGGTAGAAGCAGAGGATATGGCAAGAGACATAGAGACAATGAAAGAAGTAGAAGTGCCGACGAGGAGTACAGGAGAGATAATGAGAGGACATGAAGGAAGATATCGAGAGAGGAAAGTGACCAAATCATCGTGAGTGCTCATGGGAAGAGATGAAATGGAAGGGTGGAGGTCGCAACAGGAGAGGAAGAGACGGGGTGAAACAAGCGAGCTAGTTGAATTCGTAATAATTCTACATCTGAGAGAGATATTGTCCTTCAACCCCTCACATTGCCAAAGTGCTTGATTTGACATTAATTACTCATCTCATGTTTTACAGCGTCGGGAGGTGGCGTGACCCCGTAGCAATGGCTATGCCAGAGGACTCCTCAATGGAGGTGCCCGTCAACCTGGCAGTCGACTGTGTCGTTCGCAATGCTATGGAGAAGCTCGTAGAGAAGCAAGCGGACCTGAGGAACAAGTCGTTCCAGAGGAAGAAGGAGCTGGCCAAGTACTTCGAGGAGACTAGACGGCAGCTGATCTCTCTCCTCGCACTTGTGAGATGGCAGAAGAAGCGCCTCAAGGTCACCAAACAGTGCGACGACTTGATCGAGAACTTGAGGTTGCACCACTGGCACATGCACACCACGTCAGAGCGGTTGTGCATTGCGTCGGAAGAGCTAGCATACCAGCACAGGACGCCCATGTATGACATGAGGACAGCGGTCGACGTGCTTGCCAGCGGCACCTACAACGGGCTGCCTGACATGGAGATGCAGAAGATCATCACGCCCAAGGTGACCGACGCTGAGAAGGAGCAGGTGATCAAACGGCTGGACTTCCTCATCCGGACCGAGCTGTTGAACATGAAGATCCCTGCGGATCTTTCCAAGGTCGAGGTGAAAGACGGGCGTCTGACTCTCCAGGCAGACGACGAGTTCGAGCTCGTGCTGTCTCTGCGCCTCGATCAGTCGCCCCACCCCTTCAAAGTCGACAAGGTACAACTCCTCGTCAAGGCTCAAGGCGGCCCCCTGCCCGCGTGCGATGGCCTTGTGCCGTTGATTGAGAACCGGATGATGCACAACCAAGAGCCTCTGGTAGAGGCCGTGACGATCCTTGGAGACTGCGCTCGTTTCCGGACTTGGCAAATTCTTAACTCCCAGGCGCAGGGGCCGCTCTTCTCCCCCAAGGTCGATGTGGAGACGAGCACCAACGGGAATTCTTTCACCGTGTACTACTGGCAAGATTCTCAAGCTCCCGTGTCCTTCGAGTCTCTGATGACGTCAGCCGTGCGGAAGAATACTGTGGAGACCAAAGCAAATGTCTCAGCGGATTCGAGGATCAAGATCAAGAACCCGTGTATCATATTCATGTCTACTAAAGAAGGTCATAGCCGGGTGCAGATCAAACATTCGCCTCCTCTTGTGGACGAGGACGGCAAAATCGTGGAGATTCACGTGAACAGATCGTCTCTCAGCTTGGAGAGTGTGATCCAGGATGTGCTCAAACTGCACAGCAGCTGCAGGCTGCGGTTGCTCCACAAAAGGTTGTCAGAGTACGAATGCCTGCTCCGAGACTGCGACATTGCTGTCACCATGACACCGACAGGGAACGAGCTCGTCGTGCACGTGGAAGGGAAGCCGAGGGTGAGCATCGTCAGTGACTACAAGAGCGGTGAGTTGGAAGCAAGGGACCTACTCTTAACGGACTCAGCGCCAACTTATGAGAAGCTTCAGACTGGTCTACATCGAGCCCTTCTTCGTACGGGTGACGACAGCGTTGCACAAGTGCTCATAGCATGGCGCTCCTACGACATCCTCAACATCGTGACTGGACTTGCTCCCTCGTTCGGATTGAAACCAGCTTTCAAACTCCTCACCTACTCCCACTCACAGTCCATCCAGCTTAACGACCTTGTTAACGAGAAAAAGCCCGGAATCTTCTTGCAGCTTCCTGGTTGCTCAATCCTGGATTCAGGCTACAAGGATCCATCGAAGCCTCTGCCAAAACCTTCCTCGCAAGACGTGTGGGCGCTGATGGTGCAGTACGACGCGTATGAAGGAAAGTTCCACTTCTCCCTGCTCATCTTGTCAGTTTCTAAGGGAGCCAAACCTGTCATCGAGAAGCTGGACGTTGACAAGATCCCCCTCCAATCATGGCCGCCGGCCTCTTCCCAGAATCAAGAACCTCGGACCAAGAAGAGGAAAGTCACCGGGCCGATCGAAACGTCTTCTGTAGAGAAGATCGCAAGGATTCAGCTGGCAAAGGTGTCAGAGATCGTTAGCAAGCGCATCCGTTTCATGCAGCTCGAGAAGCAACTGGACATGCAGAGGATCAAATGGCGAAGTGTGGGTGACGTCATCCTGTTGCACCTACACGCCTCGCTGCTGCAATCCAGGGAGCTGCGCCTGTACCTCGAGCCCAAGTCCGCTTCCTTCGTTGCTGGTGGGTGTTCCGGGTGGAAGGCGGAGATGACGATCACGACATCGTATCATGAGCACTACAAGCATCCCAGCGAGATACTCCCGACCATCAAGAGGGTGGGATTCTTGGAGGAAGTGGTGGAGGAGGGCGGCAGCAACACTCTGACGTTGAATTTCCCCAACATCCATTGTGAGAGCATTCGCATGCTCCAGCAGATCGTTCAGGGTCTGTCGCACATCGCTCGGCTGGCCCATCGCATCATGGAGATCTTCGACCCAGCTCACTCTGAGGAGTACAAGGACCTTCAGGGCACTCTGGCTATCGAGGCGATGGGTCACACCTGCATCGTCCTGCGCATGATCGAGAGCAGGCAGCTGATCAGCATCAGGTATCGCCTACGAGGAGGGTTTGCGGTCTCGATCGGGAACGAGGTGCATCCGCTGACCGGGAACGCGGAGATCGCTCTGGACTCTGAGCAAGATATCGTAGACATCTTGACGTCCATCGTCAGCATGCAGGTGCTACTTGACATCGTCAAAGAGCTGCCGACCAATCCTGGGGACGTCACCTTGTTCAGCCACCATCTTGACGGCCTCTGCGTCATCTTTCGCGGCATGTTCGGCTTCTACATCCGGTACACGGACATCTACTCCATCTCCGACGCCACTGTCTGCACTCCAAGATTCGCATCAAAGGGCATGGTGGAGCAGGACGAGTGGAGCTACAAGTTCCCTCCTACCAGCTTCTCCTCCTTCATGGACACAATCTGGCCCATCCCCGACTGGCAGAACGTCATCAGCTTCATCGTCGATCACATCACAGCGCTTGACTACAACTCTCTGCTTGCAGAGGGTCAGAATGTACTGGTGCCGGAGAGAGAGCAGGGCTACCTGCCCCCCATCCCTCACTTCACCGGCAAGTCGAGCTCACTCGTCTGCAGTAGAGCGCATGTCCAGAAGACAATAGAACTTGCGTACCAGCACATCGTGGTTTCCTTCATGCACATCTATGGTAACTGGCTCATTTCCAAGGTGAACACCTCAACTACCAACCGCATTGCTCCTGCCCCTCCTGCTCAATCTGCCCCTCCTGCCCCTCCTGCCCCTCCTGCCCATCCTGCCTCTGCCCCATCGACATTCATCGTAAGAGGTCGCCATATCTTCTCTCTGGAGGTAATGCACCCATTGAAGTGATCCTGGTTCTGACTTGAGGGCAGCTGACTCAAAAGGGCATGCCGCAATGGAACGGAGTGGAGAAGCTGCGGCTCAAGGTGGAGAACGCGGGAGCTGCCGCGGAGAAGACCAAAGAAACGTTAACGGATGCGGATGTGAAGACGATCGAGAGCATCTTCGAGGTGGAGGACGGTCCCTCTCAGCTGCTGCCCTGACACCCCGTGGGCTGCAGGAGGCCATCAACGAAAGCTGCTCGATGAACCGACTTCGTTCCTTCCTGAATCTCCTCTCCTTCCCTGTCGCCGTCATCCACAGCTTCTGCGAGATCTGGCGAGAAATCTCCATCATGTACAAGCAAGTCGCTGAGGTCACTTTGATCGCTCCCCTGCTTCCATCGTCTCACCCTGAGCAGGTCGCACTTGCCCCCGTCTTCCTCGTCGACACGGCAGAGACCAAGGAGAAGGTTGCGGCAGGTATCCGCAAGGGAGCCCTCACTCCCTCTCCTCGCTCCGACTCCGTCAGCTGCATCCTCCACGATAACACCAAGGTCTCCCCCGCCTCTCGTCTTCCCCCTTCCTCTCCAGCTCTTCACACCCCAGCTGTGTGCAGGACGAGGCCACGTTCGTTCTGCGGTTGTGGATGAACGAGACTCCAGCTGTTGAGGTGCAGGTCAGTTGAGTTTGCGGGGTGTGTCTCATGCTGACCAGCTCATTCCCAGCTCATCTACGCCTACACCCAGTCGAAAATGTTTTCGGGGACCATCACGGTGCTGCCGGTGGGGAGCAGCAGGGAGGCGTCGGCCACCGAGATGGCAGAGACGATCTTGAAGCTGACGGCCAACCCGACGCCGGTGAGGGTCGCGACTCCCTCCTGCTCCTCTCGCCTGACACCCCTGCTCAGGTTCCAGCTGGGCAGCTCTGGTCGTCGGTCAAGAACATCCTCGGGCAGTTCCAGGCTCCTCCTCCTCCCGCGCCTGCGATCTAGAGCTGCTGGAGGACACTTGAGGGAGATTGTCAACGCTGGGAGGGAAGTCACTGGGGTCGAGACGAGGACTTTGTTTAAAGGAGCGAGGGAGGAGGGAAAGAGTAGGAAAAAGTTAGATTGACTGTTATTGCTCACATTTTTACTTTGGGATAGATCTGAGTACAGGTATTTACATTAAAGTTGTCATCTTTCTTCTTCATCGTCTTTTTCTTCCTTCTTTCGTCGTCTTCCCTCTTATTTCGACTTCCTCTCTCTCTCTCGCCTCCAACGACCTCACAGTGTCGGGCATGTAATGTTGTTGTTGAGGATGTTCTCACAGCAGAAACTGGAACATGGTGAGTTCAAAGAAGGCAAACAGGATTGCAAACCTTGCTGAGCTGATCGCTGGCGAGAAGTTCAGCCGGTACGGAGAACCCACAAGCTCGTAGGGCGAGAAGATGCGGTATGAAGGGAAACTTTCGTACAACGGAGTACAACTCCCCCCTCCCGTACAATCTGCATCTGCCGCACAAGATGACCCTGAGTTGGGGCCGAGACAGGAGCAGGTCGCCTCCTGCGCTGTGCTGATTCCATCACAGTAGAGCTCGCCGGTGTCGGAGCAGTTGCATGCTGTATGATTGACGCATGAGCCCGTCAGGTTGACGCTGCCGCCCATGCAGACCTGCCGGAGGACCCGATGGGAACCTTGACAACTTTGACAGTGTCTGAGCTCCTCCACGGCATCAGACAGCTGGAGTTCAGCTGAGGTGTTGGGGGTAGGATGCGGAATCTTCCATTCGATGAAGACGTCGTACGGGAAGGAGAGATCGAAGAACTTGTAGTAGGCTGACGGTTGCACGCTTGACAAGGAAGTCCACTGATCAATGATAAGAGAATTGTCTACCCAGACCTTGACTCTGTCAGAAGTGCTGATGTTTGACCAACGAAAACTCTTGGCCTGGGAGGTTTTCCGCTTCATCGTCATCATCCCATGCAGTCTGATCACGAAGCTTTCGTTTGCCCAAGTCAAGTTGCCGATGGTTTCAAGCGTTGAGTCTGCAAAGTCAGACAAGCCAAACTTGCCGACTGTCTTGAGATCATTCGGCAGGAGGGCATCGGGCTGAGCTGTTCCTGTGAAATTTCATCGCTGTGGATGTCAGTCAGTAACGAGCCGCTAGAGAGGACAGCAGACCTGATGTAGTAGGTGGCGTGCACCATCCCCATGTGAAGCAGTCGGGTGTGCAAGAAGTGAAAGTTCTGACAGGGCGAGGTGTCTCTGTTGAGATGATAGAAGCAGGTATGGACCCCTTTCCCAGCTCGCTCAGCACTTGCCTCTCACTCTGATCGCTAGTCAAGCACGAGCTCAGGCTGCTGGAGGGCTCCTGGAGCTGCGGGAGGATCTTGACCGCTATGGTGGATATGGCACCTCGCCATGGCGGCGTAAGACCTCCAGCGCTGAATCCCAAGAAGGGAGGAGCATAGGAGCTGCACCCAGAGGTCTCGAGAGCAGAACAACCACGGCAGGCGCTCTGATTGCAGTCGGGGCTCTGCTGGTATGCAAATTGAGTGCGAACAAGGAAGGACGCGAACAGCCGGTCGTCGGGTAGCTGACCTGGTCTCATGTTTCCGAACTCGTCTCGTGCCTCGATGAAGAAGGTGTTGCGGTACGGTATGAGAGCCGCAAAGGTCAGGCCGTAGCCCACGAGTGTCGACCTAGAGCCGCAGACAGCAGGGGCTGGCAGGACTGAGACGAGGAAGGGACTTCCGAGAACGTCTTGCATGCCGAGCTGGACGAAGACTTTGTGATCGCCCGAGAGGACAGGGGAGATGGTGCCCACGAAGTATCCAGCTGTGGGAGAGCTGGCCCCTCCTTCTCCTATGGTCTCAAACGGCCGCACGAGACCCTTGAGCGGGTAAGAGACTCTGCCCTGCACGGTAGGGATGAGGTAGGAGGTCTTAGGATACATAGTGATGTTCCACGGCAAACTGTCGTTGAATACCAGGTTGACAACCTTTCCCAGCTCGTCGTTGGCAACGATGAAGAACCTCAGAGTTTGACCCGCCGTAGCAAAGTCCAGCTGATCATCGGCGTGCACGAGAGACTTGCTTGCGCAGATGGCGTCGACGTATGTCCCCAGCTGCTGCGAGGCCTGCGCGAAGTCATACTGGACGAGAGGCCAGTAAGAAGAGCTGCTGGCCAGCAGGCCAGTCTTGTTGCAGAAGCTCTCGATCGTCGCGTCGGAAGGAGCAAGGATCGGACTCGAGTAAGAGAGAAAAGAGGAGTCGAAGGTTGCGGGGGAGGTCTGAGGGTAGAGCAGCCGGTAGTAGATGGAAGATTGAGATGTCGAGCAGAAGATCGACAGCTGGAAGGCGTCGCTCCGGTTACTTGAGGCCTGGGAGACGAAGACGGGTGAAGAAGCTTGAACATAGAAGGTACTTGAGTTGGCGACGTCCGAGTCTTCTAGCCCCTCCTTCACAGCAACTGCGCAAACTCTTGTGGTGGATGAGACATAGAAGGGCCCGGAGTACAAGGAGCTCGCGTTGGAGGGCAGGCTCTCATCTAGGGTGTAGAAGATCGCGGCCCCTTGCGTGCTGCTGCGGATGAAGATAAGGCATCGGCTGATGCACGTGACTGCGACTGGGGAGGAGAAGCGAGGAGTAGACACTTTGTTCACAACTCCCGGCTGATTGTCCATAGCGCTCAAGACATTCATCGCCTGCTGGGGGATTGACAATGTCCCAGTGACTTGTATGGATACATGCTGCGCTTGTTGCACCACACTTGGGTTGACGACCTTGAAGGACAGAGAGTATACCGTCCTCGCTTCTAGAACAAGCCCTCTTCTCACGTAGAATACAACATTTCCTCCCACATAGCTTCCCGTTCCCGCAGTGTTTGCATATTTGTCTCCTGTCAACAACTGACTGCCAACGGAACTCGAAGAATCTTGCAGTAAGGGAAAGTACAAGCTCAACCCAAGGTTGCCGAGCCCGGAGATACTGATCACGGAGTCAGAGTTGAGGTTCACGTTCACTTCGAACTCAATGGTCAGTAAATTTTCTTCCCCTGCCAACGAATTGTTTTGACTGATTTCTGCCCGCAGCCACCTTGCGATCAAGAGAGTAGCTGCGTTGCCAGCTGCCTGTGTGACCGCATGAGGAAGAATATTGAGGGTGCCGGTGGTTGATACAAAGAGGCTGGGAGGAGCTTGCCCTTGTAGACTGTTGTTCACTGAGAAGGAGAAGACGTAAACATCTCCGGCCATGGAATTGTTTGTGACATTTAGAATGAGAGTAGATCGCGACCAATCGAAGGCATGGAGCGAGAGGAAAGCAGACGCGTTCCCTTCGATCGTCGACACGACAGTCTTGTCTGGGTCTGTTCCATTGAGACCGGAGACAAGAAGGACCCCACCTTGCAGGAGCGACGCGCTTGTAGAGAAGGAGACGGAGATGGTGTTGGCAGCCGCAGCTGAGGCATTGCTCTGCCAGCTGCTGGCAGAAAGAAACTGAGCGATCAGCAGGGGAGCCGCATCTCCAGTGCTCGAGAGCATGGCCTCAGGCCCGATGGCGCTGTCATACGTCCCATGCTCGATAGTCAACAAGATGCTGAGGACCTGAGGCTGCTGCCCCTGCTCCTGGTTCCTGCCGTGCACAGAGAAGACGATAGTCTGGTTGGCCAGGGACCCGTTAACAAAGAATAAGGAGAGGCTTGACGATGCAGCTTCCCAGCCTCCTGTCTCTGCCACTTCTAGATTGCGACTGCCTGAAAAAATCTCAGCGCCGACAAAATCCGAGCTGAGATTGGTAGGACTGGACAATTGCACGAGATCAGTCTCAATGAGAAGCCCATTCATGTTTGATATCAGGATGGAAGAGTTTCTGGTGACATCCACTGATATCTGTAGAGTGAAGGTCAAGCTGTTTGAGCTGTTCTGACTTGCTGAGGCCTGTCCTACGATTTTGGTCACAAAACTTGGAACGACAACCTTGAGAGGGAGCGAGCCGTTAGTGATTCCATCGCGGCTTTCTTGTACAACTTGCATGGTCTTAGAAGCGAAACTCGCAAAGGCTCCATTGGCAGTGATGGACACAGGTGCCTCGACCGCGTACTCTTGCGGCAAAGTCCATTCATCCGGCCGCGGGTTCCTGATCTCTGCCTTGAACGCGTACTGGACACCTGTCTGCATGATCAGGCCACTCCCGATAGTCAGGTAAAGAGTCTCGAACGCGCAAGAGGTACATCCCCAGAGGCCGTAGCCCACGTTGCCTGACGCATCCTGGAAGAGCAGCTCTGCGCTGTTGCCGTTGGTCACGGGCAGCAGCGTGACGGGAGAGGCAGCCTTGGCCCCGGTGAGCGGCTTGATGGTGATGGAGGCTCCGTCGACGTTCTCTAAGTTGATGTTGGTCTGTAGGGTGACATACAGGTAGTTGCTCGCGCCGCTCAGACATGTGCTTTGAGCAATGATGGCCGTTACAAACTCTGGGACAAGAACCCTCAGGGTGTCTGACCCGCGCACGACGCCCTTGATAGTGAGGCCGGTCTTGAGAGCGAGGACAGTCGCGATCGCTATCGGGCCCGACACACTGACTGTGACGTCCGGGGGCTCCTGGGCGTAGGTGGGATTGGTGACTGAGAATTGTAGAGAGTAAGTGGTGTCGGCCCAAAAGGTGCCATACTGCAGCAGCGTCAAGGTGTTGGTAGTCCACAGACCTCTCCTGTACTGACTTCCGTCCCAAAAGCGCGTGTCGGCTCTCGCACCGATTAGCCCATAGTTCAACGATATCGGAGATGTGGCGATGGCACCTGACAAGTTGCCGACGGTCATGACAGCATCTCCTGTGCTGAGGTCTACATTGACGGAGAATATGAAGTAGATCGTGTTCAGAGCTCCTGATACGGGAGTGTTCTGAGTGAGGGTCTTGACGTTGAATTTTCCTATTCTCATCGGCCTCAAGTTTTTGGACGTTGGTATCGACATTGTTGTCCCCGGCGATGAATCTCCTGACGCCCATACTTGGATCGCTGGTTCGTTCTGCCCCGTGACCCCATTGGTGAGGTTGAATGAGAAGCTGTACATGGTGCCGGCCTGGGAGTCTGCGATGACGGTCAAGATCAGCATCTGAGTGGAGACGTTGTTGATCCATTCACAAGAATCGCCGAAGATCAGAGTAGAATCGCTGTTCTGTGTGTCAACCAGCTTCAGATTGCTCGTTGACGGCGTGTCGCTGCCAACCAGCCCAGAGATAGTGATCTTTGTATTCTCGGACACAGTTAGAGATGCTCTCGCTTGGATGCTGACAGTGAGGGTGTTGACGGCTCCTGATGATGGCGTCGACTGCTGGATGTAAGCATACACGAAGTTGTTCACGAGCAAGGGAGCAAGGTTGCCCAGGTCCTTCTCCATGTTTGACGGTGGGATGGGCGCGTTTGCAAACGTCGTGTCAATGACGCAGGAGATGTTGATGACAGGAGAGTCTTGGCCAAGTAGCGGGTTGACTAGAGGGACGATGATCGAGAAGTTGGTTCCAATCGTCATTCCATCTTGCACCACCGATATGATAAGAATCCCGGAGGCATCCCAGTCCGCCGTGCTTGCAAAGACAGAAACAGGAGCAATGATGGAAAGTGAAGGATTGGTAGGTGTGTTTGTTTGATACAACCCAGTGATAGTAATAAAACTCTGTTGAGGAACATCACAATTGACCTGTAAAACGATGGTGATATTGTTTGGCTGTAAGTATGAAACGGTGTCTTGCTTGATTTTCTTTACAACAAAGTATGGCTCTATCAGGTACAAGGCGCTGGATCCGTCAGGTACGCCAAAGGCTGTCAGGTTAGAGAACGTTGTCATGTTTGCGAGTGCATACGCTACGACCCCACTACCATTGATCGAGATCGAAGGCGAACTCTGTACAGATCCAAGATTACTGACATTGAACTCAAATTCGAGGATATCGTTAGCCTGTATGGCAGCATATGGGCACAGAGCAAGATACAACATGTTGTTGGACAGATACCCTGTATTATTTCCTCCCAGGCAGAAAACAACATCATTCGGTGTTGGACTGTTTACATCAATTTGAACATCACCAGGAGAAGGCAAGATTCCTTGCAAACCAAAAATTGTCAACGTCAAATTATCAGCCCCGGACACGTCTACATTTGAGGCAAGAGTAACATGTAACACATTGAAGGCATTGATGAGAGGGACTGTTTGCCCAATCTGTCGAAGCCAAAGTTGAGGAACGATAACGAACAACGGGCCAGAGGCATTTGATACCCCACGAATCGAGAACAGACTAGGATCCATAAACGATTCTGAGATATTGAAAATCCACGAGGCGGAAACAGAAACCGACTGAGTCTCCTGTGAGAAGGTAGGATTGAAAACTTGAAACGAAAAGCCGTACTCCGTCCCGGCTCCCATCGTCGCCCCCGTGTACACCGTCAGCTTCAGCGTCCCCCCGCTCCAGCTCCCTGTCCCCTGCGCCGAGCTCCCGTCCCAGAACAGCCCGCCCCCGTCGTTGCTCACGCTCGTCAGCGAGATCGAGCTCCCTGCGATGGCGTTGCTCAGCCCTGAGATCGTCACCACCGACCCCTCCAGCAGGTCGTAGTTGGTGCTGACGTTGACCGTCAGCGTGTTGGACGCCCCCGCGAGCGGGTTGGACTGGTAGATGCTCTTGAGCGAGAACAAAGGTACCAGCACCTCCAGCGGGTCGTACCCGTACGCCACCCCGTACCAGCTGCTCCCCGGCTTCGTCATCGCCGCTGCCGATATGCTTCCGACTACCCCCGCGTCTGCCGTGGAGTAGATCTGCCCCGCCACGCTGACCGACGGAGAGGACTGGTCGCTAGAGGGGTTGGTGAGCGTGAAGTACACCTCGCACGCTACCCCTGCTGCCGTCCCGCTCCCCGCCGCCGTCAGCACCAGGCTCCCTGTCCCCTGGCTCCAAGCCCCAGACGCCCCTAGCAAGCCCCCGGTGCTCGTCACTTGCAGCGCTGCGTTGTCCCCTGTGGCCGACCCCGTCAGCCCTGTCACCGTTACCGTAGACCCCGCCTGCATGTTGTAGTTGGCCGTCAGCGTCATCGTGATGACGTTGGTCGCCCCCGCTACCGGCGTGCTCTGCTGGATCGTCTTGGCCTCGAACGACGGTACCAACACCGTCAACGGGTCCCGCCCGCTCGCTACCCCGTACAGCGACGTGCCGGGCTTCGACATCTGGCTCTCGCCTATCCCTGCGTCGTACACCCCTGCCTCGATCGTCGCCGACACGTACACCGTCGGAGACGTCGTGTTGACCGCCGGGTTGACGACCACAAACGACAGGGTGTACTCCGTCGCGGCCGTGGTCCCTGTGCTTGTGAGCACCAGCGTGCCCGTCGTCTGGTTCCAGCTCCCCGTCGTGCCCCACCCGCCTGACCCGCCCGACACCTCGATCGCTCCGTCTCCTGTCTGCGTGCCCGTGAGGCCGCTGACCGTCAGCAGCGACCCCGAGCTCATGTCGCAGTCTGTCGCTACCGTGATGGTGAGGGTGTTGTTGGCCCCCGACACCGGCGAGCTCTGCTGGATGCTCTTGCTCGTGAAGCTCGGCTCTACCACGTACAGCGCCCTCGCCCCGTACGTGACCCCGACAGCGCTGGAGTTGGACGCCGTCATCTCCGAGGCGCTGATCGACACGTTCCCGCTCGCCGCGATGCTCACCGACGGCGCCGCCTGCGCTACCGACGGGTTCCTCACATCGAACGAAAAGCCGTACTCCGTCCCGGCTCCCATCGTCGCCCCCGTGTACACCGTCAGCTTCAGCGTCCCCCCGCTCCAGCTCCCTGTCCCCTGCGCCGAGCTCCCGTCCCAGAACAGCCCGCCCCCGTCGTTGCTCCCGCTCGTCAGCGAGATCGAGCTCCCTGCGATGGCGTTGCTCAGCCCTGAGATCGTCACCACCGACCCCTCCAGCAGGTCGTAGTTGGTGCTGACGTTGACCGTCAGCGTGTTGGACGCCCCCGCGAGCGGGTTGGACTGGTAGATGCTCTTGAGCGAGAACAAAGGTACCAGCACCTCCAGCGGGTCGTACCCGTACGCCACCCCGTACCAGCTGCTCCCCGGCTTCGTCATCGCCGCTGCCGATATGCTTCCGACTACCCCCGCGTCTGCCGTGGAGTAGATCTGCCCCGCCACGCTGACCGACGGAGAGGACTGGTCGCTAGAGGGGTTGGTGAGCGTGAAGTACACCTCGCACGCTACCCCTGCTGCCGTCCCGCTCCCCGCCGCCGTCAGCACCAGGCTCCCTGTCCCCTGGCTCCAAGCCCCAGACGCCCCTAGCAAGCCCCCGGTGCTCGTCACTTGCAGCGCCGCGTTGTCCCCTGTGGCCGACCCCGTCAGCCCTGTCACCGTTACCGTAGACCCCGCCTCCATGTCGTAGTTGGCCGTCAGCGTCATCGTGATGACGTTGGTCGCCCCCGCTACCGGCGTGCTCTGCTGGATCGTCTTGGCCTCGAACGACGGTACCAACACCGTCAACGGGTCCCGCCCGCTCGCTACCCCGTACAGCGACGTGCCGGGCTTCGACATCTGGCTCTCGCCTATCCCCGCGTCGTACACCCCTGCCTCGATCGTCGCCGACACGTACACCGTCGGAGACGTCGTGTTGACCGCCGGGTTGACGACCACAAACGACAGGGTGTACTCCGTCGCGGCCGTGGTCCCTGTGCTTGTGAGCACCAGCGTGCCCGTCGTCTGGTTCCAGCTCCCCGTCGTGCCCCACCCGCCTGACCCGCCCGACACCTCGATCGCTCCGTCTCCTGTCTGCGTGCCCGTGAGGCCGCTGACCGTCAGCAGCGACCCCGAGCTCATGTCGCAGTCTGTCGCTACCGTGATGGTGAGGGTGTTGTTGGCCCCCGACACCGGCGAGCTCTGCTGGATGCTCTTGCTCGTGAAGCTCGGCTCTACCACGTACAGCGCCCTCGCCCCGTACGTGACCCCGACAGCGCTGGAGTTGGACGCCGTCATCTCCGAGGCGCTGATCGACACGTTCCCGCTCGCCGCGATGCTCACCGACGGCGCCGCCTGCGCTACCGACGGGTTCCTCACATCGAACGAAAAGCCGTACTCCGTCCCGGCTCCCATCGTCGCCCCCGTGTACACCGTCAGCTTCAGCGTCCCCCCGCTCCAGCTCCCTGTCCCCTGCGCCGAGCTCCCGTCCCAGAACAGCCCGCCCCCGTCGTTGCTCCCGCTCGTCAGCGAGATCGAGCTCCCTGCGATGGCGTTGCTCAGCCCTGATATCGTCACCACCGACCCCTCCAGCAGGTCGTAGTTGGTGCTGACGTTGACCGTCAGCGTGTTGGACGCCCCCGCGAGCGGGTTGGACTGGTAGATGCTCTTGAGCGAGAACAAAGGTACCAGCACCTCCAGCGGGTCGTACCCGTACGCCACCCCGTACCAGCTGCTCCCCGGCTTCGTCATCGCCGCTGCCGATATGCTTCCGACTACCCCCGCGTCTGCCGTGGAGTAGATCTGCCCCGCCACGCTGACCGACGGAGAGGACTGGTCGCTAGAGGGGTTGGTGAGCGTGAAGTACACCTCGCACGCTACCCCTGCTGCCGTCCCGCTCCCCGCCGCCGTCAGCACCAGGCTCCCTGTCCCCTGGCTCCAAGCCCCAGACGCCCCTAGCAAGCCCCCGGTGCTCGTCACTTGCAGCGCCGCGTTGTCCCCTGTGGCCGACCCCGTCAGCCCTGTCACCGTCACCGTAGACCCCGCCTGCATGTCGTAGTTGGCCGTCAGCGTCATCGTGATGACGTTGGTCGCCCCCGCTACCGGCGTGCTCTGCTGGATCGTCTTGGCCTCGAACGACGGTACCAACACCGTCAACGGGTCCCGCCCGCTCGCTACCCCGTACAGCGACGTGCCGGGCTTCGACATCTGGCTCTCGCCTATCCCCGCGTCGTACACCCCTGCCTCGATCGTCGCCGACACGTACACCGTCGGAGACGTCGTGTTGACCGCCGGGTTGACGACCACAAACGACAGGGTGTACTCCGTCGCGGCCGTGGTCCCTGTGCTTGTGAGCACCAGCGTGCCCGTCGTCTGGTTCCAGCTCCCCGTCGTGCCCCACCCGCCTGACCCGCCCGACACCTCGATCGCTCCGTCTCCTGTCTGCGTGCCCGTGAGGCCGCTGACCGTCAGCAGCGACCCCGAGCTCATGTCGCAGTCTGTCGCTACCGTGATGGTGAGGGTGTTGTTGGCCCCCGACACCGGCGAGCTCTGCTGGATGCTCTTGCTCGTGAAGCTCGGCTCTACCACGTACAGCGCCCTCGCCCCGTACGTGACCCCGACAGCGCTGGAGTTGGACGCCGTCATCTCCGAGGCGCTGATCGACACGTTCCCGCTCGCCGCGATGCTCACCGACGGCGCCGCCTGCGCTACCGACGGGTTCCTCACATCGAACGAAAAGCCGTACTCCGTCCCGGCTCCCATCGTCGCCCCCGTGTACACCGTCAGCTTCAGCGTCCCCCCGCTCCAGCTCCCTGTCCCCTGCGCCGAGCTCCCGTCCCAGAACAGCCCGCCCCCGTCGTTGCTCCCGCTCGTCAGCGAGATCGAGCTCCCTGCGATGGCGTTGCTCAGCCCTGAGATCGTCACCACCGACCCCTCCAGCAGGTCGTAGTTGGTGCTGACGTTGACCGTCAGCGTGTTGGACGCCCCCGCGAGCGGGTTGGACTGGTAGATGCTCTTGAGCGAGAACAAAGGTACCAGCACCTCCAGCGGGTCGTACCCGTACGCCACCCCGTACCAGCTGCTCCCCGGCTTCGTCATCGCCGCTGCCGATATGCTTCCGACTACCCCCGCGTCTGCCGTGGAGTAGATCTGCCCCGCCACGCTGACCGACGGAGAGGACTGGTCGCTAGAGGGGTTGGTGAGCGTGAAGTACACCTCGCACGCTACCCCTGCTGCCGTCCCGCTCCCCGCCGCCGTCAGCACCAGGCTCCCTGTCCCCTGGCTCCAAGCCCCAGACGCCCCTAGCAAGCCCCCGGTGCTCGTCACTTGCAGCGCCGCGTTGTCCCCTGTGGCCGACCCCGTCAGCCCTGTCACCGTCACCGTAGACCCCGCTTGCATGTCGTAGTTGGCCGTCAGCGTCATCGTGATGACGTTGGTCGCCCCCGCTACCGGCGTGCTCTGCTGGATCGTCTTGGCCTCGAACGACGGTACCAACACCGTCAACGGGTCCCGCCCGCTCGCTACCCCGTACAGCGACGTGCCGGGCTTCGACATCTGGCTCTCGCCTATCCCCGCGTCGTACACCCCTGCCTCGATCGTCGCCGACACGTACACCGTCGGAGACGTCGTGTTGACCGCCGGGTTGACGACCACAAACGACAGGGTGTACTCCGTCGCGGCCGTGGTCCCTGTGCTTGTGAGCACCAGCGTGCCCGTCGTCTGGTTCCAGCTCCCCGTCGTGCCCCACCCGCCTGACCCGCCCGACACCTCGATCGCTCCGTCTCCTGTCTGCGTGCCCGTGAGGCCGCTGACCGTCAGCAGCGACCCCGAGCTCATGTCGCAGTCTGTCGCTACCGTGATGGTGAGGGTGTTGTTGGCCCCCGACACCGGCGAGCTCTGCTGGATGCTCTTGCTCGTGAAGCTCGGCTCTACCACGTACAGCGCCCTCGCCCCGTACGTGACCCCGACAGCGCTGGAGTTGGACGCCGTCATCTCCGAGGCGCTGATCGACACGTTCCCGCTCGCCGCGATGCTCACCGACGGCGCCGCCTGCGCTACCGACGGGTTCCTCACATCGAACGAAAAGCCGTACTCCGTCCCGGCTCCCATCGTCGCCCCCGTGTACACCGTCAGCTTCAGCGTCCCCCCGCTCCAGCTCCCTGTCCCCTGCGCCGAGCTCCCGTCCCAGAACAGCCCGCCCCCGTCGTTGCTCCCGCTCGTCAGCGAGATCGAGCTCCCTGCGATGGCGTTGCTCAGCCCTGAGATCGTCACCACCGACCCCTCCAGCAGGTCGTAGTTGGTGCTGACGTTGACCGTCAGCGTGTTGGACGCCCCCGCGAGCGGGTTGGACTGGTAGATGCTCTTGAGCGAGAACAAAGGTACCAGCACCTCCAGCGGGTCGTACCCGTACGCCACCCCGTACCAGCTGCTCCCCGGCTTCGTCATCGCCGCTGCCGATATGCTTCCGACTACCCCCGCGTCTGCCGTGGAGTAGATCTGCCCCGCCACGCTGACCGACGGAGAGGACTGGTCGCTAGAGGGGTTGGTGAGCGTGAAGTACACCTCGCACGCTACCCCTGCTGCCGTCCCGCTCCCCGCCGCCGTCAGCACCAGGCTCCCTGTCCCCTGGCTCCAAGCCCCAGACGCCCCTAGCAAGCCCCCGGTGCTCGTCACTTGCAGCGCCGCGTTGTCCCCTGTGGCCGACCCCGTCAGCCCTGTCACCGTTACCGTAGACCCCGCCTGCATGTCGTAGTTGGCCGTCAGCGTCATCGTGATGACGTTGGTCGCCCCCGCTACCGGCGTGCTCTGCTGGATCGTCTTGGCCTCGAACGACGGTACCAACACCGTCAACGGGTCCCGCCCGCTCGCTACCCCGTACAGCGACGTGCCGGGCTTCGACATCTGGCTCTCGCCTATCCCCGCGTCGTACACCCCTGCCTCGATCGTCGCCGACACGTACACCGTCGGAGACGTCGTGTTGACCGCCGGGTTGACGACCACAAACGACAGGGTGTACTCCGTCGCGGCCGTGGTCCCTGTGCTTGTGAGCACCAGCGTGCCCGTCGTCTGGTTCCAGCTCCCCGTCGTGCCCCACCCGCCTGACCCGCCCGACACCTCGATCGCTCCGTCTCCTGTCTGCGTGCCCGTGAGGCCGCTGACCGTCAGCAGCGACCCCGAGCTCATGTCGCAGTCTGTCGCTACCGTGATGGTGAGGGTGTTGTTGGCCCCCGACACCGGCGAGCTCTGCTGGATGCTCTTGCTCGTGAAGCTCGGCTCTACCACGTACAGCGCCCTCGCCCCGTACGTGACCCCGACAGCGCTGGAGTTGGACGCCGTCATCTCCGAGGCGCTGATCGACACGTTCCCGCTCGCCGCGATGCTCACCGACGGCGCCGCCTGCGCTACCGACGGGTTCCTCACATCGAACGAAAAGCCGTACTCCGTCCCGGCTCCCATCGTCGCCCCCGTGTACACCGTCAGCTTCAGCGTCCCCCCGCTCCAGCTCCCTGTCCCCTGCGCCGAGCTCCCGTCCCAGAACAGCCCGCCCCCGTCGTTGCTCCCGCTCGTCAGCGAGATCGAGCTCCCTGCGATGGCGTTGCTCAGCCCTGATATCGTCACCACCGACCCCTCCAGCAGGTCGTAGTTGGTGCTGACGTTGACCGTCAGCGTGTTGGACGCCCCCGCGAGCGGGTTGGACTGGTAGATGCTCTTGAGCGAGAACAAAGGTACCAGCACCTCCAGCGGGTCGTACCCGTACGCCACCCCGTACCAGCTGCTCCCCGGCTTCGTCATCGCCGCTGCCGATATGCTTCCGACTACCCCTGCGTCCGCCGTGGAGTAGATCTGCCCCGCCACGCTGACCGACGGAGAGGACTGGTCGCTAGAGGGGTTGGTGAGCGTGAAGTACACCTCGCACGCTACCCCTGCTGCCGTCCCGCTCCCCGCCGCCGTCAGCACCAGGCTCCCTGTCCCCTGGCTCCAAGCCCCAGACGCCCCTAGCAAGCCCCCGGTGCTCGTCACTTGCAGCGCCGCGTTGTCCCCTGTGGCCGACCCCGTCAGCCCTGTCACCGTCACCGTAGACCCCGCTTGCATGTCGTAGTTGGCCGTCAGCGTCATCGTGATGACGTTGGTCGCCCCCGCTACCGGCGTGCTCTGCTGGATCGTCTTGGCCTCGAACGACGGTACCAACACCGTCAACGGGTCCCGCCCGCTCGCTACCCCGTACAGCGACGTGCCGGGCTTCGACATCTGGCTCTCGCCTATCCCCGCGTCGTACACCCCTGCCTCGATCGTCGCCGACACGTACACCGTCGGAGACGTCGTGTTGACCGCCGGGTTGACGACCACAATCGACAGGGTGTACTCCGTCGCGGCCGTGGTCCCTGTGCTTGTGAGCACCAGCGTGCCCGTCGTCTGGTTCCAGCTCCCCGTCGTGCCCCACCCGCCTGACCCGCCCGACACCTCGATCGCTCCGTCTCCTGTCTGCGTGCCCGTGAGGCCGCTGACCGTCAGCAGCGACCCCGAGCTCATGTCGCAGTCTGTCGCTACCGTGATGGTGAGGGTGTTGTTGGCCCCCGACACCGGCAAGCTCTGCTGGATGCTCTTGCTCGTGAAGCTCGGCTCTACCACGTACAGCGCCCTCGCCCCGTACGTGACCCCGACAGCGCTGGAGTTGGACGCCGTCATCTCCGAGGCGCTGATCGACACGTTCCCGCTCGCCGCGATGCTCACCGACGGCGCCGCCTGCGCTACCGACGGGTTCCTCACATCGAACGAAAAGCCGTACTCCGTCCCGGCTCCCATCGTCGCCCCCGTGTACACCGTCAGCTTCAGCGTCCCCCCGCTCCAGCTCCCTGTCCCCTGCGCCGAGCTCCCGTCCCAGAACAGCCCGCCCCCGTCGTTGCTCCCGCTCGTCAGCGAGATCGAGCTCCCTGCGATGGCGTTGCTCAGCCCTGATATCGTCACCACCGACCCCTCCAGCAGGTCGTAGTTGGTGCTGACGTTGACCGTCAGCGTGTTGGACGCCCCCGCGAGCGGGTTGGACTGGTAGATGTTCTTTGTTGTGAATTCCTGCGCATCGATGAATCCAGGTATTAACAGCAACAACACCCCGTACCAGCTGCTCCCCGGCTTCGTCATCGCCGCTGCCGATATGCTTCCGACTACCCCCGCGTCTGTCCATCTCAAACTGGGAGCACCACAACATGTGCTTGTCAAGAATCTCTCTTCTCATCAATTTCAACGGACATCAGTCGGATGACAGGCGGGGCGGGCTCAGCTCGATCTGGGATTTCAGTTTATATGTGTCTGATATTTCACGATCGGAGGACGATTGTCCTGCGCCTTCCCCGAACATTTTACAATAGTTTTACACACAAAAAAGGATCCAAAAAAATCCGGGGTGTCGTGCCGCACCGCCGTAACTAAAACTTAAAAACGTTTTATATGTGCGATATCGGTACCTCACCCACCGGTCAGCTATGAAGAGAGGGGGTACTCACGTCCGTGCCCCGTAATAAATGATACCTATTTATACCATGGATCCCCTCCTACGAGTCCTAGAAGGCTGTCCTGCGGAGTAGCAGCCGGCGAGTACTTGAAGGACAGGGACAGTGAGAGGATCGAGCAAGTGGAACAAGAGGAGGAGAGGCAGGAGGAACTTGCCCTCAACTGTTCCTCCTCCAGCAGCGGGCCAGGCTCTCCTGCCCTCTCTCGACCTCCCCATCTTCACGCTGAGCTCAACCAAGCTCTCCCTCATGGACGCGGCTCGCGTGCGCACCGACGCAGCCCCAGACGCCAGACACCCGGCCCCGGTCATCACCCTGCCAGGGAGCAATCGGGCGCAGAGCGGCGATGAGGCCGACGCTCAGCACGAGACACCCACGAGACAACAGCAGCTAGTTTGTTTGGAAGCCTCGATCCGGCTGGTGGAGAGGCATGCGAGAATCATAGGGTGCAACGGGGAGGAGCTGCAACTGTAGGCCAGGTGAAGATGTCTGGATAGAGTGAAAGAAAGCTCAGAGTGTTTTGTAAAGAATGACACTTTTGTCTTGATCCCCACTAGCGAAGATGCAGTTCAACGGTTTTTGAAAGAAACCATGTGCTGTACAAATGGTCAAAAGCAATAAATTAACAAGCAATCAAAAGCAGATAACGATTGATTTGTAACAATTGATTTGCTGATTGGGAGAGGATCTCTGTTCATATGATGGACTAGGAAGGGTTTCTTGTAGATGAGGACAAATCATAGCTGGGGCAGGGATGGTGGGATTGGAATCCCAACCAACCATCTCAACTACACTCCACTCAAACCCCACGTCCTCAAAGGAGAGAGGCAGCCTTCAAAACTGAGAATTTGCTCTCGAGCTCACTATGGGCGAACGAGGTTACATCAGCATCAGTGGGAAGACCTGGAGGTCCGCGACAGCAAGTACACAAACCAAACCGTAGAAAATACAGTCGCTAGGTTCCTAACTGGTCACTGTCACGTACAGTCATAAAGCTTTCGATCTCTACAGTCGCACTAACACCCCCTCGGAGTATCCTCCTATCCTAGTACCCCTCATCAGAAGTCGATGGTAGGGGTGGTCGAACGAAAACGGTCCCCAACCTTATAAGGGACCAAAATTCGAAGAGGTCTGAAGCAGATTACAGCACTTGGATGGGAGGGGCACAGGGCAGAGCCGCGCGAGGACAAGGAGCAACTGGGAGCCAGTAGAACAAGAGGAGAGGAAGGATACAACCGGAGGAGATGCGAAAGAAGGAAGCTCGTGGAGCTTGTCCTCGACCCTTCCTCCTGGGTCTCCTCTGACCGCCATCGTCACGCTCAGCTCAACCAATATCTCCCCTCATGGACGCGGCTCGCGTGCGCACCGACGCAGCCCCAGACACCAGACACCCGGCCCCGGTCATCACCCTGCCAGGGAGCAAGCGGACGCAGAGCGGCGATGAGGTCGACGCTCAGCACGAGACACCCACGAGACAACAGCAGCTAGTTGTTGGAAGCCTCGATCCGGCTGGTGGAGAGGCATGCGAGAATCATAGGGTGCAACGGGGAGGAGCTGCAACTGTAGAAGAGAAAGGGAAACATGAGAGGATGAATGATAATTGGATCGAAGCCTCCCCTCCTTTCTGTGTAGATTGTGACAAGTTTGTTGAGATGTGAGCATTGCCTATGTTGTCAAAGGATAGTGTGACTACGTTTGAGAGTTTGGCGCTTGTAAAGATAAAAACTTACCATACTGAATCACCCAGACCGATCGGAATCAGTCAAGAAAACGAGTTTTTCCCAAACATCTCGATCGGATCTGACACTAGCTGATCCTGAATGATGAAAGGACGAGATGTTCTGAAAAGCCGATAGACAGCCATGTGGCATGATCAAATCAGTTTGAAGAGGCGAGGACAGTATGATGCAGGAAGAGAGGGTGGAAGCAAGAGGCGTGAAGGTTAACCAGTAAGAGTGAGACGAAAAGACTGCTAGGTTTACTTGATGTGAGACTGCCAGTGACCAGAGCAAGGAAATTTGATTCCGAGCAGTAAACCGACATGGAAGTTGGTGGTCGGACGAACGAAGTTACGATCGAAAGATCTGAGAGCTGTCAAGTATGCCAAATGAGCTTCGAAAGCGAGCAGGCAGCGTACGGAATCCAGGGATGAGATGTCAAGGGCAAGATATGAAGTGCGGGAGATCTAGCATACCAGCGCTATGGTGGGGAAGAGAGCTATCTGACCAGCGCTATGGTGAGGGGGGGAGGAAGAGAGCTATCTGACCAGCGCTATGGTGAGGGGGGGAGGAAGAGAGCTATCTGACCAGCGCTATGGTGAGGGGGGGAGGAAGAGAGCTATCTGACCAGCGCTATGGTGAGGGGGGGAGGAAGAGAGCTATCTGACCAGCGCTATGGTGAGGGGGGGAGGAAGAGAGCTATCTGACCAGCAGTATGGTGACTCTGTGAGGAGAGGGAGGGAGAGATCTTGATGTAAACAAGCGAGCATGTGCTCATCTTTGCTCATCAAGAGAGGTCAAGATCATAGGGGGTTGATACCTGGGGTCCTTTCCCGATGAAAGTTAGGGGGTAGGGTAGTATTGTAGCTCACAGTGTGATTGCGATGCAGGTGCGGGGAAGGGAGGGGCAGGAGGGGGAGGAGACAGCAGCAGCAGAGAGAGCTGGGAGAGGTCGTTGAGAAACATGTCGGCTTGACAGGCTGGTGCAGATCGCCGGGCTGGAAGGTCGGCTTGAACGTTTGGAGGGTCTAGTGGAGAGCTCGCTGAAGACAAGGGGAGATCAGACAGTGACAGAGAAAGTGAACTCAGTCTGTTTGCGCCTGAAGCATCTGGATGCGTCCAGGGAGCTGCTTGATGGTTGTCCGTGCGATGATCGTTGCGCTCCTCTGACTCACCGAGCAGCCGCGAACCGAGGGGACGCATGGCCCCAAGATGCTGGGGCCCTGCAGGAGGTTCTCCTCGCTAGGTGCGGATGCAGCTGCTGATGATCTCTGACCGTCCTCTCACATTGTGACAGGCGTGAGAGCATGATGCAGATGGCTCGACAGCTGGAGCTGATCGAGAGACTACAGCGGCACCTTGACTCGGACAAGATACGAGGTTCCCGAATCCTTGTGGACAGGCTGCTAGTGACAAGATGACAAGATGTCTGTCTGTTGAGAGAAGAAGTTTACCAGGCCCTGAAGGATGTTAAGAGACAGGCAACGACGACTGACATGCACAGGATGCAGAACTCACGCCCTGCTGCAGTACGAGGCAGCGCGAAGGAACGAAGAAGCTTTGTCGCGCTTCCTGGAGGTCTACAACGATGCTTCTGCCGTCCTCTCTCGCACATTCCTCGAGTAAGCTCTCGTCCGATGCTCTCATGGTGAAGAAGTTACTGACTGTCCCGACAGTCTGGACGGCAGAATACGAAGGCTAGAGAGCATGTCGAATACTTAGAGCACATGCTTTCCTGAAATCTCTTCACTGCGAGCAAGCAATAGCGGCTGTCCTGTCACATTCCAAGGCTGCTCACAAGAGGTTGTGACTACAATCCGCACTATGAATACATCGCAGACTGAGCGGGCGACTCGGGGCTGCATTCAGGGTGGCTAGTGTTGGAATCATCGAATCTAGGACTACCAGTGATGTTGCGAAATTCTCTTTAATCTTCCTTGTCATCATCCTCAATCTTTCGTTTCCTGGAGGCTCCCGAGGCCACGTCGAACTTTGCAGAGGAGTAAAGCACTTGTTGATCGCAAACCCCCCAGAACAAATCCTCGTCGTCGAGTTTCTGGGCTGCTATCCACCTCCCACCAGCTCTGAACTCAAAAACCTGGCCGACTCGTCATCCCTTCCATGCAGCCCATCAAGTCCCCTACCTTCCTCAACGACCCGCCCGTGACCACGTGCGTTCCCTTGTGCCCCCCGGTGCTCACAGTGACAGGAACATCCTCTTGCACTGCCTTGGCCTGCGGTCGCAAACGATCAGACAAGGATGGGGAGGAAACGAATGGCAACGTTGGACGAGCCTCCTGCCTCTTCCCATTGCCCTGCGATGAGCTGCAGATCCGTCAGATAGAAAGCAAGATGTGCTGCCTGTATCACCTGCGAATCAACACCGAAAGCGTAGAAAATCTTGCTGTTGACCGACGAGAACGACAATTTCATGATGTCTGACTTGGTGACTGACATGGCTCTACATGCATGGGGATGGTCAAATGCATCTCCGATATCCTCACTCTCTCCTTTACCGGCCGCAGACATTCCACTTCCTGGCATCGTACACATAAACGCTCCTATCCATCCCTGCACAGCCTACAATCCCTTCCCCTGACGAGCTCTATCAGTCAGCCATGGAACGAGGTAAATTGACAAGTCACCCCATGCCGTCGTGAGCAGCAAGGAGTTGCATGGCGACACTCTTGCGACACATGCGCTTCGACCTCCAACCCGCGGATCCCACAGGGAAAGGAAGTTGAACTCCGTCAAGGCGAGCAGACCTGATCCAGCCTGCACAGCAGCACGTGAGCAGCTGACCTTCCCAGCACCGCTCACCATCTTGTCTGTTCTTCCATTGCCAACCCACGTCATGCTGTATGGCATCAGCGCGAGGTTTCTGTGTCACCATCGTCACGAACAAGGTTGTTCAGTCACGATGCTTCTACATCTTCCTCGTCTCCTTCCCGGTGTTGAGGTCCTGAAGGTTTCAAGCTCAGCAGCGCCTATTGCATGGGGAACTCACGTAAATGCAGACGGATTTCTGGAAATTCCTTGCAGCAGCCAGTTGACTGCCACACGGGCTAAAGTCCACTCCGCCCCATCCTCCCTCCCCGTCCTGTCGAATAGTTACAAAGCGTTGTCTCCCCACCGATGGCAGATACACAGAAGCCATGCCCTTGAATGAAGTCTACCGGGGGGTCTTCTTGTTCCGCGAAATGTTCTCCTGCTGAAAGTGAGGACAAGGAAGAAGCCACTTCGGGTGTGGTTCGCACCACAGTTGCGGAAGGAGTACAAGCAGATCCCCCCCGCCATGTCGATTGATGCCATGCGGAAGCTGCTTTCACCGTCTTTAATTCCTCGAACACTGCAGATCTCCATGCCAGAGTATGTGTTCTGCTTCTTAGCCTGTACTTGACGAGCTTCTACAGAGTTTAAAGGTGTGCATGTTGAGAACGAGAACTCGCTCTCGCCATTCATGGCTTCAGTTTCATCCCTTCGCACGCTCAACTGGTAGATCTCTTTACCAGAACTAGCTTGCAAGTCAGCCGTGCGTCACACACAAGTTTGGAGGCTCTCACGCAATGAAGGCATGGCGACTCGACTGAGCACAGATCCGTGATCCTGCAGCGAGGAAGCTTACATACACAACAGAAGAACCTGAGGATGCTAACCGAGGTACGAAGGCGTCACCTTCACAGGGGCTGGCAGTTTGCATGTCTGGAAGAAGTTCACGCTCCTTCCTGTGATCATCTCTGCATCGTCGCTTCCCATGATGGCTGCGAGCACGCGGACGCTTCCAAGGACAAGAGCCAAGCAAATCAGAGCGAGGGGCTGAACGGCTCTATGCGTCCACCGCCTGCTGGGAACTGAAATGGTACGAACAATGAGCGACGTCCCTGACAAATGAAGATGCGGCGAGAAGCTTCGAGTATCTGCATGTGAGCTTCAGTGAGCATGTTGGTGTGGAGGATGCATGAACACTAGGATATCATCCAACCAGACTCTCCTTGTCTCGTACTTTCTGCCTATCTGTCATCCCATTCCAGCCCAGGTTTCTCTCTTATCCTCCCATCACTGTTTCATTCCCTCACTGCCTTCCTGCCTCCCTGAGCCTGTTGTGCCCTTCAAATTTCCCTTCTTTCCCCTCAACATCTTCTCCTTTTCTCGTAATTATCGTGCCATCGCCATTGTTTTCGCCAATACGGCCAGCACTGCATTGCGGCGATCCGTGCTAGGTGGGGATGAGTGGGGATGAGTGAATCAATCCAGCGTTCCGGGCCGGGGCCCGCCTGCGCCGGGTCACTGCTGTTCCCGGCGAGTCACTCAGTAACCCCTTCTAGTAGTGATTCCCCGAACGGAACTTGCAGGACCAACTGCCATGATGGTGAAAAAGGGGGTAGGGGTAGTGATGGGAGGGGTCTATTTGCAGGAGAACAAGGGGGTTAGAGGGAGCGGTTGACTCTGCGAGGGCAGCAGGCAAAATGAGCGTGACAGGTAAGAAGCTGTACGCTTGTGATCCCCCGAGGACGATGGGCGAGTGAGGAGAGGAGGGAAGAGGGAGATGCAAATAGGGAATTGTCAAGGAATGAGATCTGAGATGGCGAGATGAGATGACGAGATAAGATGACAGCGAAGACTGGATAGATAGTTTTCAAGGGAGGGAGTAAAAGGATATCTCGGGAATTTTACCGTGGTGACCATTCTGTGTGCAGCACTCAAATTGCACCATATCAACCATGCAGATGAATCAATCGGTAAGCTCCCTTGTACGCTTCGTCGCTCAGCAACTAATCACTTCTTTTATCACGCAAGTTCACGATTTTCTGCATCGACAGAAGACTCCTCGATGGTTCTTGAGCTCTCCTCAAGTGACGGCAGCTATTTCACGCTTTGATGAGAGGATGAGACAACAAGGAGGTACACTTGCGGATGGGATGGAAAAGCTTCGATGGACGATGCAGCTGAACCTGGGAAGTCTGACATCGCGAGAGACGGTCCGAACGTCTCAGACAGCAGGGGGCATGACAACTCGATCCCTCCCTTCGTATCTCAACGAGCTGCCCAGCATCAAGACTTCTCGTCCTCCTCTAACAGCCCTTAGCCATGTCAGGTAGCCCTTTGCTTTCACATGAGAATATCCCTGCGGTTTTGTCTGATTTCTTTTTCTGTGTTTACAGCCGGAGAAAGCATCAGAAGGATAAGAAGTCAGACGTGCCGTGGGAGTTTAATCCCGATAGCACTCAAAGGATTCCTCCTTACATGCTGAGCAAGTTCCGGAAGCCGAGGATGCGGATGGAGAGGACAGGGCGGAATGCAAGTCATTTGAGTGACCTCAAAGAGGCCAGACAAGATTGAGTGTATTCATGAATGTGCTGTATCGATACGATGGAGTGCCAGGATGAAGAAAAATCCGCACTGTTTAATGTAAAATATGGAAGCTGAAAGGTTGCACCAGGATGTGTTGAACTGATGCCGCACGATCGAAGAATGGTGTAGGGAGCTGATGTAGCAAGTTTCTCACCAGCAGCACTACCAAGAACGTGTCGGGTTCACATCATTACTTCTTCTCTCGTCTCGCAACAGCCTCGGCCAGTGAGATCCTCCGATAGATCGCTCCGAACTTGCTGCCCTCATTCCTTTCGACCTGAACCAGGAGGTGTTAGAGCAGCTGACGGAGTGCAGGCGCTCAGCAGGAGCAACCTTATTGGCCTCTTCGGAGGAGTTGAACATTAGGTCCCAGCACGGATCTGCCTGCCCCAGGGGTTCAGACGGCAAGAGAGTGATTTGCAAGAAACCTTCTCAGCGTCGTCATCCAACTTTTCGAAGAGCTGACATCAAGAAAGTTTCAGTTCACTCACTTGATCTCAAGACATGTGCTGACTGGGTGCGCATTCAGATGCTCCACTTGCCAGTCGTGCAACTCCTTGACATCGGTAACCACATACAGAAATCCCCCTTCCTGCACGACCCTCTGTGACCGACATCGCAACATGCCGGAGCACACCTTGAGCACGTAGGCAAATTCGCTGATTGAATTGCGATTGATGATTCTCCTTCGATGGTTCTTGGTCTGCAAAGAGCTCGTCGGTTCTCAACGTAGCAACGAAACTCCAACCTTGAAGTGAGGGTCGGCAAAGCAGAAAAATAGCTTCTCCAAGCTCCCTGGATGGATGATTATTGGGCACAAAGGAGATAGATATCATGCAAAACACCTTTCACGAAAAAGTTTGCGATGCATTTCATGGCGTTTGTGCGAACCACAGAAATCTGAGCTTTTCTAATCAATCTCTTGGCACATGGTGTTGTGATAAGTTCAAAACAATACATTTTGAAATCTTCCTTTGTTTTCATTTCTCAACGCTTTTATCCTCTGCTCGTTGAAAGTGAGTAGAACAGAATCATCATTGCTTGCACTTCACCCACCTGATCAACATAGCTGGCAACTTTCTCCCGGATCTCGACACCGATAGAGATCTACTTGTGCTGTCAGAACTTCTCATCACCTCCCGCCAAGCACAGGTTCAAACCTTGTCAGGGAACCTCTCTCCAAGCTTGACCAGCAACCCACCAAACCCACACCCGATATCTGCATACTCCACCGGCCTGGGCATCGTTTTCGCTTCGCCGCATAGCTCGGGATAGAGAACCGACCAGTCGACACAGTCAGCTGAGAGGCCGTTAGAGTGATCTCAGAGCGAGCATGGACGGTCTCACGGCTCACGGGATACTCGAACTGAGGATCAGCAAGCGGGTTCGCATGCGCTCTGGAACGGAACTTCCTCTTCTTGACACCCCCTGTATCGTCCTCCACCTCCACTGTGAACACAGGAAAAGTGAGTAGAGCGATATGAGATCGTATTTGATGTCATGTGCAAGACTGGCCAGCTATCCTCACTCCTTTTTGCACGTCTTATTGAACTACGTCCTCAGAGCTACAAGGCGATGATTCATCGGTAATACCGCAGAACAACCAAGGATCGAAAAGGGAAGAGTGAAGATAACACCTAGATGTGGCTCCTGAATACCTGATCCTGGGATCCTCGCCCCATCCTCACCCTGTGACTGTCCGAACTTTCCATGTCCTCTCCTATCCTCATCATCTCCGCTTGATCTCCTCCTCCTCCTCCTCCTCCTTCTCCTCCTCCTCCTCCTCACCTGTGAAGTGCCTCCCTGAGTTCGCATGGTACCCCGACATCACGTGCCCCTCATCCCCGCATCCCCCCTCATCCCTCCTATTACCCATCCTCATCCCGCCCGCAGACCCTCATCCCCACTCACGAATCTTCATGTCGGTCAAACACAGGTCAAACAACACTCGTCTATTTCCGGCGCCTCGCTGCCATGGAGAGCTTGTTCGGTAAGAGGAGGCGGCAGTCTCTTGTGGTGGTGGAGGCGGCGGAGAAGGAGCAGCAGCAGAGGAGGAGACGGGAGGAGGAAGATGATGGTAATGATGACTTTGTCCTCGCTGCAGAACGAGTGCCGCCTGCATGCGTGCTTGCTGAGTTCCTGGGGACCCTGCTCTTTCAGTTCTTCGGAGGGGCATGCTCCTCCACAGCCGTCGCAAACGGTATCTCCTCCCCTCATGATCATCAGGCTCCTCCCCTCATGATCATCTCAATCTCCTCCCCTTATGATCATCTCAGTGTCTTCCTCTGACTCAGCCGACTTGTGGGGTCAGGGTTGACCGTAGCTGCTCTCGGCAACGGCCTCTGCCTTGCTGTCCTTGTCTACTCAACCGCTGGAATCTCGGGAGGACATTTGAACCCGGCTGTCAGCCTGGGCTTCTGGGTCAACGGCAGGCTCGGCAAGATGAGGTTCATGCTCTATGTTGCGGCACAGCTCCTGGGCGCGATTGTTGGCGCTGTTATGCTCAGAATTTGCCTCCCTCCAAGCTTTCTCGGCCATCCTTTCGTAACTCAAGGGTAAGCATGGACCCTTCCTTGCGAAGCTCCTGTGATCTAACATGCTCTCTACAGAAATCTCTCTGCTGCACATCCCGTGCAGGTCCGGCTGCAATCTCTTGGAGCCGTCTTTCTGAGTGATGCCGTGACAACAGGTTTTCATCCTTGAGTTCTTGGCCACCTTCGTGCTAGTGTACTCAGTGTTTGCCACTGCTGTTGATCAAAAGGGCGCAGCGAAGGTGAGCTCCTGCTTGACCAGACCAAGATAATCATGAGTTCTCCGCTCTCAGAACGCAGCCCCTCTCACCATCGGCCTGTCGGTGGCCGCCGGAATCTTTGCAGTGGTGGGAGCTGACTGATTCAGACATCTTCTTCTTCGATTTGATCAAATTTGATCACTAGGGCCCTTTCACCGGAGGATCCATCAACCCTGCTAGGACCATCGGAGCTGCATTTGCATTCTGGGATGCTGACAACATCATTATCTACATACTCGCCACTCTCGGTACAGTCCCTCGACCCTGTTCATGGCTTCAAGTAGGCTTCGTCAGTGACACAGGCAACTTGACAGGTGCTGGATTTGCTGCAGGAACCTTCTACAACTCTTTCTTCCTTGATATGCAAGCGCCCCAGCCCGAAGAGCGCGACAACGAGCCGAACGAGTTCTGGGACGCCAAGGCAAGGGAAATGACAAACAGCAAGGCAACAAAATCAATGTATTGATCTGGATCCAAAATCACTCCTTTGCAACGCCAATTCGTGTCTCTGAAGGGTTAAGACTGAATATCTGACAGTGGACGCTCTGATGTATTTCTTATTTGCTTATCAATCACTCCTGGGAATGATTGTGCCTAAGTTACTTGAATGTTCAGGAGATTAAACTTGAAACTGAATTGAACAGGAGCTGTACTATCTCTGCTGCTATGATCCTATCCAACATGCTTGTCGAGAAATCTTCCTCGATCCGACTGAGTTGTCACATCACAGCGTTGGTCAAACTTTTGAAAGCCGATCAGCCAGTCCCAGTAGGCTCAACGACCCCTGAGCCTGCCTGACTCTGTGAGACGGTAAGGTACACCGTAACAGCCTGGCAGCGGCTACACGGGCAGTCTTACAACAAGGTCAACTTGCAAGTCTGTACGTGTGGCTGTCAGGGCTCACCTGATACAGTCACGGTATGCCGTAGTAGTAGCCAAAAATGTGTAGATGGCCAACTGAAAAAAAAATCAAACTGACCAAAACAAAAAGTCAATAGCTCCGAGGCGGGCTGTTTGTTGCGTTTGGTGGTGGATGCAACGGCCGACATGGCGGGGAGGGGGAGGAGAAGGATGGGAGGGGTGGATAGACGCGCACAAGGAGCTGAAGCAGCTGCAGGAGGAGCGGGAGGAGATTGAGAGGGAGATCGCGGGCCTGGAGAGGGAGAGGGAAAGGAAGAGGCGGGACAGAACACCGCCAGCCAAGGAGCGCGATGTTACGATGGAAAGCTCGACCAGTCGACGTGAACATGTCAAGAAGTTGTGGAGGACGAAGGAGAGCTGGAGGGAGTTTGTCATTGCCTCAGAGGACGCCAAGAGGAGCCTTGGAGGAGGAGACAAGCAGGATAAGCGCACCACGAGCAGCAGCGGGCCTCGTAGCAGAGAGGAAGTTGGAGAAGCGAAGAAGGAGATCAGAAGGCTGGCGAAACAGTTGGAGGAGAAAGAGAAAGAGAACAGACGGCAGGCTCAGGGCTCAGAATCAGCTTGCTTGCTTCCAGAGGTCACTGCGTTGAGTGTGCTGCTTCATAACAACGACGGAGTTCCAGTACGCTTCCGATCTTGAAGGTGTTTGTATCGTCTGAGATGTGATGGGCAGATTTCAACATTCTATGATGGAAAGATTGATGTGAAGATAACAAGCATGTCTGACCAGACGAAGTTGTTCATTAAGGTACAGCAAACATCTGTCAGCACGATGATGATAGAGCTGGAGATGATTTTTGATACTATGCAGAATCCCAAATCATGGTCGGAAGTCCGACCGTCGGAAATCCATCGTCTCGTTTGGTCCGCATGGCTGTCTGCTTGCTTGACCTCGTCTGCAAACAAGAAAGCGCTGACGGCATTGAAGCTGAAGGAGGAGAACGGGGAGGCAAGGGGAGGCTGTCACAACTATCCGATGCTGAAGTGATCACAGGACTTAAAGTTCTTCTCCATGCATGGAGAGCTTCTTTCAGGGCTCAAGTTTTGCTCGCACTTGCTCATGGATGATCCTTTCCATGTGATCTCCTCGAGTTGCCCTCTCCTTTCATCATTCTCTATTCCTCCTTGCTTCAGTCCTCCCGTCCACCTGCTCTCCTTCCAGCCTCTTCCCGCCTCCTCTCTTCCTCCCCTCCGCTCTCCCTTTCTCTCCCTCCTCTTTCTCCCTATCCTCACCACCTTCCCCTCAGGTGGTTGTGAGCATGGGTGAGCCCTTCCGGCTGCCCAGGAGACTAGCAATGCAGCACCAGCTGCAGTCGGGGCGACGCTCAGCTTTCAGATTTATCGAGTGAGACTCTAAGTTGAGGTGCAGATGCCTGACCCATGTGAAGGTGCGAGAGAGCATGCAGGCTGCATGAAGGTGCTGTGGTCGTCAGTGAGGGGAAGGTAATCTTGCCTGGCTTTGGGGAGGAGGATGAAGGGGGAGGAGGAGGAGGAGGAGGAGGAGGAGGAGGAGGAGGAGGAGGAAAGAGATTTTGATGGTGGTGGTGGTTGAGGCTAATCATGACGGGTTTCAGGGGAACGTGAAGTCACAAGAGGGTCTAAAGCTCAGGCAGACGTCTCGTCAATCAGCGTCGTGTCTCGTCGCTCCCACCAAGTCACGCAAATCACAGGAGGAGGCAGAAAGACTCTCGCCCGTCCCTAGGGACTGCAGGCGTCCGATGACAGCATGGAGGAGACCCCAGGTCACCGTCCTCCCTCGCTCAGGTCGACTTCACCCTCCTCTCCTCCACATTTGACGCCTGCACAGCCGTCCGCCCCTCGTCTGTCTCGCACAAGAACCTGCGGGAGGACTGTGTCTTGGTGTCAACTTGCACTCTTGCAAGCAGAGCAGAGCAGGGCGTCGTGGCCCGAGCTCGTTCCCCAGCTGCAAGAGGCGGGAAGGGGAACAAGGGGGAAGCTCCTGCTGCAGCGTTCGCTGAGTCATATCCTCCAGCTGGAGACGAGCTGGCCGGGATGAAACTCTTCAACCCAGAGGCCGCGAAGCTGGCGGGGCTGATCTGAGGCAGAGGGTCGGGAGCGCTCGAAAGCAAATTATTGATAACACAAGATGGAAAAACAGGAAGAAGGAAAGGGAGAGGAGGAGAGGAGAAGGAGAAGGAGAGGAGAGGAGAGGAGAGAAGGAATGAATAAATGAAGTCGAAGGTAGGAGACGGTCCCTTCAGTCCTTCTGCAGTATCGTCACGCTGTCCACAACCTTCCCCGATGGCACCGCGTCCTGTGTGGGGCTAGTGAGCTCGAGTCGCCATAGCGGGCGATCACCATGGAGCAGTCTTCCTTGCAGCCGACTTGGACGCCTGGCTCGAGATGCAGCGATCGCCCGAGCTCTTCCTCAACGCGTCAGTCCCAAGTCATCCGCAACTCCTGCCATCACCGTCGACGGTCGGCTCGTGGTTCACCTTGAGGCTCTCCACAAACTCGAGCTTCAGCGCTGACTTGCTCGCTGTCACTCGGACAAAACTGCCGGGCGAGTGAGTGGAAGGAGGAAGGGAACGTGGAGACGCAGCGTCGTCGCTCTCACCCGAAGTCCGACAGCATCTTCCTCTGCCAGCCGTACTTCTTCGGGTCCCGTGGCCCAGCAGGCGAGCTGGGCCGCCAGTCGCCTGGACCTGTGGCGTTGATTCTCTGTTGGAGAGATCAGCACGAGGCAACGGGGGAGGGAGAGGAACAAGAGGATGGGGATGAGAGGTAAGACTTGAGCGAGTGGGGCAGGAGAGAGATGGAAAGCAGGGAGGGAGGAGGGGAGGGAGGGAGGGAGGGAGGGAGGGAGGGAGGAAATCGTATGAAAATGAAGGCGATAAGGGATCAAAAGGAGGAGATCAGGAGGCAAAGTCACCTCGCAGTACCCGCACTTGGAGTACTCGGTCCCTTGGATGAGGCAGCAATTCTCGTTGTCGTAACAAGCAAACTTTGAAAGTTTCAGCTCAACATCGCAGTCTCCAGCCTTCGCTCACATCATCGGAGGCACAGGGCCCGCAGCGCCGCCTGTAGAACAAGCCCCCGACACAGTAGAAGTGCCGATGGACCTCGTCTCTCGCTCTGTACACAAGTCGCGCCCCTCCTGTCCCCACGACCGCATAGGTGACGCCGAACTCGTCGGAGGACTGCATGTTCAGGTCCTTGTAGACTGGCGCCGTCCTGAGGTACCTGCGGGAAGGGAGCAGGTCAAGACCGCCGGTCACGGCATGCTCTCATACCTGTGCTCGTGCCCTGACAAGACGAGGTCCACCTTGTGATCTCTGGTGGATGGCTGGTTAGGGAAGGAAGGGGACTGGGGAGAGGAGGAGGAGGAGGTTCAGGAGGTATGGGAGGACAAGGCGGAACAGGGGAGAGGCGGAGAGGTCAACCTGAAGAGAGGCTCTAGATGCTGTTGCATGTGATCGCTGACGTTCTGTTCCCTGGCGAACAAGTTCAGACGTCAGAGCAGCACGAGGTGTCCCTTACATGTCGTTGTCTATCCTGCCGTAGATGGAGCGATGCATGGCCACCACCACCCACGGCGTCATCGCCCGGTCGGTGTTGAGGAGAGTATCCTTTATCCAGCTGTACTGCACACTCCCCTTGCGGTAGTCGTGCTCGCTCGAGACCACGATGACCCTGACCGAGCCGTAGTCGAAGGAATACCAGAAGTTGCCGTTCCCCTTGCCGTCAGGCATGTGAAACCTCTTGGAAAAGGGTACTCCACACTCTCCTCCTCCGTCGTCTCCATAGTTTCCCCAGCTAGGGTGGAAGCCTGCAGGCTCCCGCGCCTTGACAGCGTCGGGGAGAGAGGGATCGTTGGCTTGAAGCTTGTAGCTGGACCTGATCTCCGCCTGCATTTCCTGTCCTCGCACTGAGTGATCGTCTATCCACTCGATCACGTCCTTCCCATCCTCCTGCGACATCAGCACCACGGGGATCGTCGCATCCCCCACGAAGCTAGGATCGGACTCGTTCCTTGCCAGCTGCAACGCACCCTGCTCCGGGGTGATAATGATAACAGCAGAAGCACCATAGAGCTCCGCGACACTCGCCTGAGACAGGATGGAGCAGCTGCTGGAGTAGAGCACTACGATCTTGTGCTCGTAGAGCACCTTCCCACTGACGATCTCCTGACCGTCCGGCTTGGAGGAGAAGCAGAAGTCAGCGGCGAGCGACGTGCCCTTGAAGTAGTTTCCTCCTCCTCGGATGATTGTCCCCTTCACCCGCTCCAGGGACGTAGGGAAGGGGTAGTCGGGGGTCGACCAAGTCCTGTAGTGCATCCTGGCCGAGGACGCCGGGGGAATAAGGGACAAGGAGGTCCCAGGGAGGTGATCATACTCGTGGTTGCCCACCGTCACCATAAACGGGACTTGCGAGGCGATCGGCTCGACCAGCTTCCCCCACTGCTCCCACACGTACGCCCTCCCCATGGCGTAACTGATGTCTCCCAGATGTAGTACCATCCCGGCCGAGCCGGAGCTGACGTGCTTCAGGATCTCGCTGTTGACGTTCTCAGGCGCGTTGTTGGTCGTGTGGCCGTTGCCCTGGAAGACGCTGACCCCCGAGTCTCCATACGCGATGAAGCTCACTTCCTGCTCCTTGCCCACCCAGGGAGGAGCGACAAAAGACATCTCATCGCTCATCATCAGCCCCGCCGGCCATCCCTTCACGTTCGCATGTCCCAAACTTGCGGCAGACCATCCTCCAGGAGCATCTTGACATCCTACCCTGTAGAAGTATCTTCGACCCGGCTCCAACGATGTCATGACGGCGTCATAAATGTAACCAGGATCCAGGAAGTTCTGTGCTCGTTCCGTGTTCGCAGGGGCTCCGCAGAGGTCATCGGCCGTGTAAGTGGTGAAGGAGGGCTTAACTCGATGCTCATACCTGCAGTGAGGGACCTCCTCTCCTGCCTCACTCACGCAAGACTCCTCACTGAAGAGCACCACAGCCCCTCCAAACGGCTTCCCAGGGCATGCTTCTGATACCCACATAACCCGCATCTCGGTCGGTTCCGAGGTCATGGAGAGTCTCACCTGTGTGGGCTCATGCGCAGGAAAGCTCGGCCTGGTCCCACTGACTGAGACGAGGAAGAAGACGTTCTCGTGGCAGTGGTGGTTGGGGCAGAACACCATCGAACCCAGGTTGGAGTCCGTACTTACAAACAGCGCTCTGTCGTTGGGGAAGCTGCCCTTGCGGAAGTACCGCACCTCGTAGCCTCCAGGCACGCGATGGTTGAAGAGCCTGATGTTGATCCATCCTCGACCGTCGTACCATGTGCTGCACTCCGTCACCGGGTGTTTCTCGAGGTAGTCGTGGTTGTCGGACTCGGGCGAGAGGTACAGAGCAATGAAGTCATCAGCAGTACCCCCGAGTATCCCGGTCCAATGAATCCTCACCGTCTCACCATTCTTGACGTTGGTCTTTGAGAACCAGATCCGAGCTCCGTCCTGCTTGACCTTCACCTCCTCCATTGGGCTCACTTTCGTCCCGACAATCATATCGTCCTTGCCAATGCTCCCTCCTTCCGCGATTTCTAGCTGTTTCCACGCATCCTCGAGCTCCTTTTGCGCATCTTGAAGCTTGCCTCTCAACAGTCTCGCTTCTTCCACGCTGCTCTCCTGATCGCCAGCTACGTATCCGCTCTTCTGGATGTTTGTGGCGACCTCCAACCAATTCGGACTAGCCAACACCTGCTGCTTGCCGCCAGCATGGGCGCTTCCCTTTCCTGCTAGCATGATGGGGATCACTTCATACCTTCCCACCAACACCACCAGTGCCAGCGCCAGAGCCAGCATGCCCAGCATGACGCCGCTTGCCCTCGCCACCATCGTCACCGAAGGGGCAGCGCTTTATCGCTCATTCAGACTTCATCGCCCTCATCACCCCGGGCCCGGCGCCGCCGGCCCGCCCTGCCGCCGGGGCCGGAGCCTCCGGGAGGCTTCCGAACTGTCATTGACTCAGGCTGGTCCGATCACTTTCCTTTACTCAAAGTTAAGTGAAAAATCAGTACGAGGACAATCAGGATACTATGATAGTCGAGGAGGCTTGACCCTGACACTCACTGAGACGGTCAGTTTGCACAGGCCAAACGGCGAGAAGAGACTCAGTAGTCACCGGATGCCGCAGGATGGCCGGATAGTGATGGCCCGGCCCGGAGTCCGTGCGGACCGACTTCACTGGCACGAGTCAAGTTCACGTGAGACGGCTCAGCGGCTGTCATTGAACCGCGCGGCCGCCCCGGGGAGTCACGGGTCCGGCGGCCCGGCGGCGAGCCGCTGAACTGCCGGGCCCGGCGAAGTCTGCCCTGGCAGGCTGAACTGACCGTCGGTGGGCCGGGGCCCGGCGGCGACACTGCTCCGACGTCCGAGTCCCGGCCGGACTGACGCTCGGGCAGGGCGGCGGCGATCTCAGTCAGCGGCTGAAAATTCCGTCATGAGAGAGATGCGACCCTTGAAACAAAAATAACTCGAAAGGAGAACTTTTGAGATAATTCGCGGCAAACCGATGCAAGTTTGCCGGGGGCCAGAAAGGCCACCCCACCTACCTTAATACTAGTAGAGATGGGTATACCTTTGAGGCGTAAGTGAAAGTTCAGGGATTGTGGGGGTACTCGGATGGAAAGATCAGGGTGGGGTATTATGTAAAAGGCATTTTAGGAAACTTTTGTAAAACTACTTTTTGTAGTTGGCAGCAATGCAGGCATCGTAAATACAGGTGAGATTCGAAGATGGGCGGAAGGATGGGAAGAGCATGGAGGAATGATGGGAAGGAGAGGAGGGAAATGACAAGTCATGAAAGATTGAGATGGAAGAAAGAGAAACAGAGATAGGATGTTTTAGATTGTGTCAGAGATAGAAAATAGTCGGTAACTTTCAACTGACGAATAGTGGTGACGAAGAATATCTGGTTTTGGGAGGAGAGAAACGGATAGGCACAGTCCCTGAAAACATTATATTCTAATCTCTGAAAAAAATCGCAAAAATGCTGCCTCATTTTGTAATGACGCAGGCCAAATGATTTGATGGTTTGGTGATCGAATTGGAGATGATTTCGAAGCATTTGTTAACCGCAAATCTATTTCTTACTTGGCAATGCATAAGTTTGGCGGACAGACAACACAGCGACCAAATAGCTGCATCTCTCTCTGAACGAGATATGTCAATATATAGGAGGCTGACTTGCCCGATACCAAACTGCCTGAACATCGATGGGCAGGGGGAAGCAGAAAAATACTCGCCGAAAAAGTGCAAACTGTGTGGCAAAGAAAATGAAATGACATCGGCTGTCAATCATAAAGGGGTTTACAGCTCGTTAGACCAGCGGTATGTTACATCGCAGCACCGTTCTGTTGAGTTGACTGAACCCGTCCGGGAGACCCTCCACTCCCCCGATGCTGTCAAGATACCCGAGCGCTCACGTCTTGCTATGGTTTCTGATGGATGGCCAGTGGCAAACTCGTCGTGGAAGTCAAAGTACAGCGATGAGCCCAGGGACAAGGGAGTCAAACGTAAGCGTGCTGAACAGATATCGCATTCGGAAGTAACGTCAGAAGAGCATACCAGTAGCTCTTTTTCCTACACATCTTCCGCGCAGCTTCAGCAGGCGGAGCCAAAGCAGTTTCCGATAGCACAACTCAAGAGTAAGCCACTGAAGCTCACGCCGGTAAGCTATTTCTCTCTTGAACCATGCTCAATGCGGCACGAGTTGGGAGCCCTGACGGTAGTCCCCAGGACCTTCCAGAGCTGTCAGTGAAGATCGTGAAGCTTTGTCAGAGCTGTGGGAGACAGTGCAACGGCACTTGGATAATGGTCTGGCTCACCTCCAGAACATGAAACCTTTACTTACTCTTGCACATCGCAGGGGTACGACGCGGTGCACTGCAGTGACTTTTGTTTAAAGATAACAGAATCGATGTTGGAAAAAGAGGACGAGATGAATATGAACAACGAGATGATGGCAGGCATGTCAACAGCAGGAAGTTCAGAATATGATCCCGAACACGAGGATTACATATCCAAAACCACAGCGTTCAAACCAACATGAGTGCAGATGTCTACTTGGTGCAACACAGGAATTTCTCGGCAAGCATCTGAAAACAAATTCCATCTATTCTTTTGTAAGATTACTCAAATGAAAATAGCCTTTCTGTAAAGAATCTAGAAAATCAACTTCATATATGTTACAAAAGAGTTGAACGCTGCATAACTTCAACAATTTTGAAATGGTGCCTGCTTCGCTCGCTGTCATGAATATCGTCGAATGATCTCTGCTAAGCCCCAAATCCCTATGGCCAGCACAACTACAAAAATAAAAGCTCGGATGGCAATTTGAATCGGGCCTGCGTGAGACACATCAGAACTAGCTGCAAGCGGCTGTGTTTATGAGGGTGTACTCACCAATCTTAGCACTGACTTCAGGATTCACAATATCTTCTGTTGCTTCATACTCGGCCTCTGCAGATATCACCTCTGCCACTTGTGTCTGTCGCTTGTCTCCTTTGACTCGAGCTTTAACGTCCTTCTCCAGTCTGTACTTTGGTATTATGAACGCAGTATCGGGCTCCACATTGCCAGTATCGCCTTGAAGGACAATGGTCTCCTCGGATGTCGACCGCAGGTTGCTTCTAGGGCTGCTTTCTTCCGACTGGGGGCGACTGTCTCTGGCGTGAGAATGGCTGCGAAACTTTTCCACTGCACGCCGAAGGCTGTCCGCTGAGTTCATCGCGTTCGACAATGAATAAGATGGCATGTCTGTCCGCACCTGAGCTTTCAGCTGCTCCTTCTGAAGCTGGAGCTGGTGTGCCTCTTGCTGAGCCAACCTGCTGATCAGCTCCGCCTGCTGGCGCTGTTGCGCTTCTATCCGCTTTTCAAGCTCTTTCACCCTGGACTCCGAAGGAATACCCTCAGCATCCAACTCGGCCTCGCCCGGGAGGCTGGGAATATGCTGGTTCAGGTAGTTCATAATGACCTGGATAATTCCTCTTGGCGAGCGCAGGATTTAGTGAGGTCACAGGCACCCATTCTCATTGCTATTGGTTCTCAGCAGAGATCGTTGAACAATCTTCATTGCAGAAATTCATCCATGTTGCCATGTCATGGTCGCCTGAAATTTCTGAGGTCAGCAATGTGCAGATTATTATCTAAAAGGTAATAACATGAGCAACAGAAGGGAGAGCACTCATGCGCAAAAGTACAAGCGGGAATAACTTTGGGGCTACAATCAGAATCGATGGAAAAGGCTACAAGCTGCGGGTGGTTGCGCAATCATCATCAAAATCAATTGAACTCCCGTTGTGTTTTCACATCCAGGACGAGTCCCCGGTACCATGACAAGCAGGGCTACAGACATGTCTCTTACGGAACTTAGATCTATTGGAGCCATGAACAGAAATCGAACAAGCTGAGGAGCGATCTATCCGATCGCATGGAGCTGCTCAGCTGGCCGGGTTAACAGCATTAGCACTATCACTAGGCTGCGAGGAGAGACTATACCTAACCTACTGTGTATCAGACGGTGGGGGTTAACGGGCCAATAGGGTGGTTTATGAGGGGTGGTTTTGAGGGTAGTTGAGGGGGTTGCCTTGACCCATGGTAATATCATGTAGCCTCGGACCAACGAGTGAGCCTGCAGAGACATGGGGGTAGTAGGGGTGTAAATCGGGCCGGCACTACCCGTCACTGAGAGGACGATGTGACCGTACGGTAATGAACTCTGACTAAACTGACTGCTAATAAACTGAGGGCAGGCCCTGTCAAACTCAGGCTGTGACTGCCCCTGGCAGGGCCGGGCCGCATGCGGTTCCCGCGTACTAGCGTGACCGAATGCCGCCGGTACGCCGCCCGGCCCAGGCTGGCCGCGCCGCTCGGCGGCCGGAGGGCCGCCCCGGGGTCACCGGGTTCCGACCGTACAAGTTCGTCAACCCGGATGATACAGTTTGGACCCGGATCTGCAACTCGGGCCCGATGATCCTCGCCCCCGGCCCGGCCGGGCCCGGGCCCGGGCCCGGGCCCTCACGGTGACAACAAGTGTACGGTACTGATGAGTGACGAAGGAAGACCGTTAGAGACGGTTGGTGAAAAGTTCGTTTCCGAAGTTCCATTTTGGACTCTCAGTTTGGACTCACTAAGATCTTTATCACCCTATCTTATCTATTTCATTAGGGGGGTGGGGGTCATTTTTTATGAAACCTACGCATTTGGAAGCCATCCCCTCATATCAAGGAGCAGAGGGAGGTGGGGAGGTGGGGTGGTGGGGTAGTGGGGTCGCCATCTACTTTACTTGCAGGTTTACTTATCAGAAGGGTGGGCTGGGTGAGGGTGGGGATGCACAGGGGTATTATGATGGGTAAGGACGTATTCAATGGTGGGGTGGTACTGGATGGCAGAGGAATATAAAGACAAGCCGTTACGAGTGAGGTAGGGTATATAACCCTACCCTATTTTTGGACCATAGAAAGAGGGGACGGCGTGGAAATATCCTACTGTACACCACCCCGCTAGTCAATCAGCCTACAATCTACCGCATCCACCACCCCATCCAGGAGCTCTCAGTACCCACCCTTTTACCATTGCATGTTGCGCCAATCCATCAACCACCCCACTTGGTTGCCCAGTGGAGAGCAATGCAGTGTACGGCTGCTGCTATGGTAGCTTGACTGAGCGCAGGCCGGAACAGCAATGCTCTCATACCCCCTCTCTTCCTCTCCTACTTCATGGCATCACTTCGTTTGCGTACATTGAGCTATCGTTCAGCCATGTCCTTCCTTCAACTGAACTGGGAGATGTGATCATTGTGTGAAGATGAACGTGCAAGACACGACGAGAACTGGATGCGATCCCTGTCTTTTACCATGATCAAGTTGTTGCACTGATAATAAGGCAGAATTCACTGTCCTGTAACTTGTACTTCCTCTTTCTTCATAATTATCGCTTTTCTCTTCACTTTCTCCTTCATATTGCAATGGTCCCTAGCATTTGTTTCGCATCGCCGTGTTGGCAGCTCTGTCTAATATTCCGTGTCCTGTCCGTTCAGATTAATTGACATGTTGTTGCAGCTGAAGAAAGATCACGAGATGATGTCAAACATTTGAACAGCGGCAGCAAAATGCATCACTGGTCTGAACAAAACGCATCCTCGTGAGCTTGAACGCCCTTGTCATTATGTCAGTGATGTATTTCCAGGTCTGGCTCCTTCAAACAGCTTCCCAGAGCTGGGCTTCATTTCTCTGGGGAGTCAGACCATGTAGTTCTGAACAAGTTCGAGAGGCTCCGACGGTCTTCATCCTTCTCGAACATGCATGAGGGTATGATGCAATCCCACGGCAGCTTCGATCGCTTTCAGATGGTGGGAGTGCCTGCAGTACCTTCCAAATCGCAGGTTGACTCCAGCGGGCCATGGCAAGTCATGAAGCAGCTGAAGAACCCCGTCACGAGACAGAAGGTTCTTCAGCTGCAAACTTTGGTGCTTGGGGTGGACCGCAAAGACCTGGTGTTCAAGTCAGCCACAAGGATGCAGGGGTTCGCCATCAAAGACGTTTCTCACATCAAAGTGCTTGAAAAGCAGGTCCTGGAGATTCATTTTGGGATCATGGGGAAAGCTAAGAACGTGGTTCACTTCTTCTGCAAAGAGGACATGCAAGGCTTCATCCAGGCGTTCTGTGCAGAGAGGAAGCCGAAGAGGATATCTGACGGGCAAGGAGCTCGAATGGTCTTCACCTTCACAGAGAGCATGTACGGGCAGATCATGCGCTCGAAGGCGGTGATGAATTGGCAGAAGCGAATCAAGATGGACAAGTACATGATTGTCAGAGAGAACCCAGGAATTTTCACGCTCTTCAAGCTGTGGATCGGCAAGATCACCAGCGGGGAAGACCACAATGGCATCTACAGCTCAATGCAGAAGGGATCAAAGTACATCCTGCACCCCATGGCACCGCTCGCGATCTTCTTTGGACTTCTGTCAGGAATTTTCCTGCTCTACACTGCAATCGTGCTCCCCTTCACGCTCGCTTTCTTCTGGGACCTCCGGCAATGCGAGAGTTCGCCAACTCTGTACATCGACATGGTGGTGGACGTCTACTTCATATTTGAGATCGTCCTTGCCTTCTTTGTTGGCAGGCAGACTAGGAGGGGATACCTGGATAACCATCGTTCCATTGCCAAGGATTACATGCTATCCGGAGATTTTGCCTTCGACATCTTCACCTCGCTTCCAATTGCATGGCTCGAGTTTGCAGAGAAGCTAACGTGTGACCGAGCGAACAGCAACTCGCGCGTGTACCTCCTCCTCCGTGTGCTTCGCGTGCTGAAACCATGGAGGCTGATCCGCCTGCTCAAGATCATGCGGCTCAACAGCAAGAAGGTGATGAATCTACTCTACAACTCTATGATGATCAAGCCCGACTCTGTCCGGCTGACCAATCTCGCCTTCGGTGTGCTCATGTGCATCCATCTGGGGTCCTGCTTCTTCTGGATGATCAAGTACCACACACACACTGCGATTGAGCTGGGAGAGTTCATGCTCGAGTACAACATACCAGAGCCCGCTGGATGTGAACCCGACGACAAGATCTGCAGATGCACCAACGCCTGGTCGATCTTCTTGACCTGCTTCTACTTCGTCACCACCGTCTTGACAACCGTCGGCTTCGGCGACATCAACGCGACCAACGATGCCGAGCGCATCTTCGTCGTCCTGCTCGAGCTCTGCGGAACGGTGAGAAACATCCTGCAGCCTTGACGAAGACGCTGACGTGGTCTCTACCTCCTCTGACCTCATCCACTTTCACCTTCCTCCGTCTCTTTGAATCCCCTTCCTCCTCCTCTTTCCCCCTCTTGTCTTCGCCCTTACCTCCGTGCTCCACCCCTAACTTCTCTCTCTTCTCCCCTCCTCTGTCAATGTAGGTCGTGTTCGCAACGATCATGTCCTCCCTGTCGTCAGTCTTGGCCAATATGACAGCGAAGGAGCGGGCGAGGGATCACTGTATCGAGACCGCGCGGAACTACCTGATGGGGCACAACATCGACAAGCGGTTGATGCAAAGGATCCTCGGGTGGATGGAGTTCAAGCACAGGCTGCTCGCAGACCGCGGGGAGAGAGAGTCGCTGATGGGGATGCTGCCGGCTGGTCTCAGGGAGGATCTGATGTTGGACCTGAACCAGAAGTTCCTCTACGGCATCCCGATGTTCTTCCATGTCGGCAAGGGCTTCCTCGGCCAGCTCGCGGCAAAGATGCAGTTTGCGGAGATGCTGGAGGGGGAGAAGGTGCTGCATTACGGGGAGATGTGCGACACCCTCTATATCATCTTCAGCGGGCAGTGTGCGTTGCTCAACGCCAAGGGAAAGTTGATCGTGAAGATGGAACGAGGGGATTTCTTCGGCGAGTTCGAAGTCCTCCAACCCAGGGTGCAAGACTTCGAGGTCGTCGTTATGCAGCAGTCGCAAATCTCCTTCGTTACCAAGGCGGATCTTGATGAGGTGAGGCGGAGGAGGAGGCGGAGGCATCGGAAGAGGAGGAGGTAGTGGTGGTGGATTTGGGGGTAAGCGAGTGGGGGAGAGCGAGGGGGAGGGGGAGGGGGAGGTGGTGCTGGTGAATGAGGGAGTTCAGAGGGTGCTGGGATGGGGAGGGGGAGAGGGGAAGGAGGGCCGGAGAATATTGAGGATGGGGCCAGGTCTTGCTGGACTATCCGATGCTGGAAAGGAAGCTGCGAGACATCGCGAGCAAGAACAAGTCTGCCTACTCCTACGTCGGGAGCGCCTTCGTGACCAATAGGACCAAGGCAGACCTCAAGGCAGAGCACAAGGGAGCATCACTCTCGACCATTAAGAAGATGCAGGACCTGAAAGATGCCAAGGGAAACAAGCAGAACTCCCTCACGGACCTCTGCACCTCCGTCGATGCCGCCATGTCGTCGGAGAACGACGCGGCCCTCCGCTGGATCATCCTTTCTTCGCGCATTCTGCGCGCAATCAACAGCGAAGACTCCTGCAACAGGCTGATGAACCGTCTGGTCCACTTCTCCTACAGCATGTACGGAGTGAACAACCCCAAGAACGTGGACGAGAACGCTGACAACGTCGACGGCGACGACCACAGTGACATCTCTGACTGCAGCCTTGAGTCCCATGAGGATATGGTCGTGCCGAAGCTGCTGGTGGAGAAGTTTGGAGAGGAGAAGGAGGGAGTGGAGGACGTGAAGGGCGCAAATGGGGGAGTGCAGGAGCAGGAGGAGGAAAGACTGAACGGAGAGGATCCGAGAAAGCACTCGCTCTCGGAGATCTTGAAGGTAAGGAAGAAGATCGAGATGATGTGATGGTGGAATGAGGTGGGTGGGGAGGCAGCATCGTTGACGTAGAAAGAAGGGTGAGCTAGAGCTAGAGCTAGAGCTAGAGCTAGAGCTAGAGCTAGAGCTAGAGCTAGAGCTAGAGCTAGAGCTAGAGCTAGAGCTAGAGCTAGAGCTAGAGCTAGAGCTAGAGCTAGAGCTAGAGCTAGAGCTAGAGCTAGAGCTAGAGCTAGAGCTAGAGCTAGAGCTAGAGCTAGAGCTAGAGCTAGAGCTAGAGCTAGAGCTAGAGCTAGAGCTAGAGCTAGAGCTAGAGCTAGAGCTAGAGCTAGAGCTAGAGCTAGAGCTAGAGCTAGAGCTAGAGCTAGAGCTAGAGCTAGAGCTAGAGCTAGAGCTAGCGCTAGCGCTAGAGCTAGCGCTAGCGCTAGAGCTAGAGCTAGAGCTAGAGCTAGAGCTAGAGCTAGAGCTAGAGCTAGAGCTAGAGCTAGAGATAGGAGGAGAACGAGCGGCAGCAGCAGCTGGAATGTGGGAGCGAGGTGGAAAGAATGGGGAGGGCGGGGGAGGGGGGGGGGGGGGTAAGGGGGAATTGCAAGAGGAAAATTTTGGTCAGAGGAATGAGGAGGAGGAAAAACAAGAATGATTGTTTTCGGTGATGACGTCGGGATCAGGAGATGCATCGAGTGAAAGAATCCCTTGGGAAGGAGCAGGAAGAGAACAGCAAGCAGGTGAGCAGTGACTCTTGACGTCTTTCACAAATGATGGTTGTTGTCAGATGAAAAGCATCAAGAAGAGATTTGGCGAGGTAGTTCCTCCTCCTCCTCCTCCTCCTCCTCCTTCTCTACCAAGTTTCTCTCCGCCCTCCCTCCCGTCCTCCTCCCATCACCATTTAAATGCGTGCCAGGTGCAAGTTCAGATGCAAGACATGACGAGCAGCTTGAATCAGATCCTGAGGTCTGTTCTTCTCCCCTCTCTGTCTCCAATCCTTCCCCTTCCTCCTGCTCTTTCCCTCCTCTCCCACTCCTCGTCCTCCCTCCTCCACTTCTCCTCCTACCCTCCTCTCCTCTGTCTCCTCTCTTCTCCTGCCCTTTCAGTGTTCAGAGGCTGACGGGAGGGTCAATGCGCAGCATTCTCCAACATCAAAAGCCCATGAACGGGCATGCCCATCACGAAAAAACTTCCTCCCCCCTCCCTCCTCGTCCCTCCTCTCCTCCTCCTACCTCTCCTCCTCCTGCCTCCTCCCGCTACACTCTTCCTTCGCATCGTCCTCCGTCCTCCAAGATCACTTCCTTCTCCGACCAGTCTCCCACCTCCCCGCTCATCCCGACGGCGACGGGCAACCATAGTTTCCCCGATGCTCCCTCCTTCTCCGGTCGTCGAACAAACTTTCGCCATCAAGGTGGGCGGGGGAGCAGGAGCAGGAGCAGGAGGGAGACGAAGCGGGTTGGGGAAGGAGGGGGGGGGAGGGAGGGGGGTTGAGGAGGAGGAGGAGGAGGAGGAGCAGCAGCAGCAGGAAGGGGAGGGAAAGGGGAGGAGTGGGGGGGGGGAGGAGGAGATGGATTGACTATGTGAGCAGAGACTGTGGATCAAGTGCTGCAGGGGCTGTACGCGAGGATACAAAGCAAAAAGAAGAAAGAGGACAAGTCGAAGAATGATGAGAGGCACGCGAAATGATCGACAACGTCCATCGACTCTGAGATTGAAACTAGCATAAAGCTGCTGTTGCTGAATATGTTGTTGTTGTTGGTGATGATGATAAGCAAATCTTCACAAAGATTTATGCAGAATCGCACGTACTTGTTTGAGTGAGTTGTGAAAAGCGAATTTATTGCATGTTTGTAAGGAACATCTACTTTCTCATACGCTCGATCTTCTTCTTCGCCTCTCCCTCCTGCATGTCATTTCAGTTCTCCCCTCCTCCCCTCTCTCTCCTCCTCCTCCTCCTCCTCCTCCTCACCGATAAGTTGAGCTGGCGCTGCATGATACGACTCAGCACGACATCTGCTAGCCGAGCTGCCTCGTCCTCCTCCATCCCTCGTGGAATCTGAAGAAGTCAATCTCTCCTCCCATCTTCTCCCTCCCTCCCTCTCCTCCCTCCCTGCCCCCCTCTCTCTCTTCGTTGTTTCACCTTCGGACGCTCTTCTGATGGAAGCTTGCTCCAGTCAAGCATCTGCTTATGGATCATTCCTTTCCTACCTTCCTCCTCCTCCTCCTCCTCCTCCTCCCCCTCCTCCCCCTCCTCCTCCTCCTCCTCCTGATCCTCCTCCTCCTCCTCCTCCTCCTCCTTCTCCTCCTTCTCCTCCTCCTCCTTCTCCTCCTCCTCCTCCTTTTCCTCCCTTTCCCCTCCTCCTCCTCCTGTCTGAAGGACCCACATGATTCAGGACTCGATCAAATCCTGCCAGGTTCGCATACTGCGAGGCGATGGCGATGCTGGGCTGCGGAAGAATCGAGAGAAAGGAGGGAAAAGCAGAGACGAGAAGGAAGGGAGGAGGGGGGGGGGGGGAGGGAGGGAGACAACGAAAGAAGAGAGTGAGAGACGTCAGGGAACGGAGGTAGGAAAGAAGCAGTATGCGGGTAGTGAGGAACAAGATAATCAGATCCCGTCAGAGTGCAAGAAGAAAACATTCGTGAATGAAGAAGTCAATGATGTGGAGAATGTTTGGAAGGAAAACCAGGCTCAAGAAGCGGAGCAGTAGAATGGAAGGACAGAAGAGAAAAGCGGTAAAGGCAGACAAGGAAGACGAGTAGAGGTGGTGGAGGAGGTAGATAAGGATGAGAGAAAGAAGAATAGAGAGGAGGAAGAGGAGGAGGAGGAGGAAAAAGGTAAAAGAGGAGGAGGAGGAGGAGGAGGAGGAAAAAGGTAAAAGAGGAGGAGGAGGAGGAAAAAGGGAAAAGAGGAGGAGGAGGAGGAGGAGGAGGAAAAAGGTAAAAGAGGAGGAGGAGGAGGAGGAGGAGGAGGAGGAGGAGGAGCACCACCACCACCACCACCACCACCAGTATCAGCTCAGGTTCACCTCGAGGTGGTAGGTCTGGTGCCAACATCTGGGTGGTATGAGAACGAGATCACCCGGAGTTTGACAACACTGTTTGACAAGGTCGGATTTAGCTGGGGAGGAACTGCGGATGCAGTCGAGCTCTCACGATTTCAAGACGTCCGAGGTTGATGAGATTTTGTTGGGAGTTTTGTTCCATCCAGACGATACCTGGGTATAGAGTAAGGAGGAGGAAGAGGAGAATAGCAAGGAGGAGGAGGGGAAGGAGGAAGAGGAGGAGGACGACGACGACGAGGGCGATGAGGGGGAGGACGAGGAGGAGGAGGACAAGGACGAGGAGGAGGACGACGAGCAGCAGCAGCAGCAGCAGCAGCAGCAGCAGAACAACTTTGCTGTTTGATTTCTTCGAGGAGTGAAGGTTTTTCATCATCGGAAACTTCGCGCAGTCCAAGGAGGAGCCTCTGCCTATTGTCTGTGCAGAGGAGTCACAAGAGATGAAGGAGGAGGAGGAGGAGGAGGAGGAGGAGGAGGAGCAGCAGCAGCAGCAGCAGCAGCAGCAGCAGCAGCAGCAGCAGCAGCAGCAGCAGCAGCAGCAGCAGGGAGGAGTTATACCTGTAGCAAACATTTCCCTGTACAGATCGTTGTCTGATTGCCTGCCTTGACTTTCAGAAATCTTGAGGAGAAGGGTGCCTTCCTCCTCTGTTGCCATTCCCCTCCTCTCCCTCCTCGAGCTCCAGCCGCTGCCGCTGCCGCTGCCGCTCCTCCTCCTCCTCCTCCTCCTCCTCGCTCTCCTCCTCACCATCCAGCGGCAAGAGAGAAGTTTGTCATCTGCTCATCCTCTGCATCCCAGGCGTTGGGCTCGAGGCGATAACTAGACTTGTCGTCTGCCTCCAACGAGATCAGGAGCTCTAGATCAGCCCGAGCAGCGACTCTTTCACCGCAGAAGGAAGGAGGTAGAAACGTCCATAGCTTGCTCCCTTCCAGGCAAAAGTTCCATCCCATCCAGTCGTAGGGATCCTGAAGCGAGAGTAAGGGGTGGAGGAGGTAGAAGAGTAGCGCGGAGAAAGGAGCGGTCATAGAGGAAGGGGAAAGGAAGGAGAAAGGCGAGCGATGAAGGGAAGGAGACAGCGAGGGAGAGAGAGGAAGGGGGAGAGATGGAAGAGAGGGAAGGGAAGAGCAGGCAAGGCAAGGCAAGGCAAGGCAAGGGAAGGGAAGAGCAGGGAAGGGAAGGGAAGGGAAGGGGAGAGAAGGGAAGGCCAGGAGGCCAGGCAACGCAGGTCAAGGGAGAGGAAGAGAAAGGGAAGGGAATAGAGGAGGAAGGAGTTCTCACTGCGTGGAGGGTCGACCTCGAACCTACTCCCCCGATGACCTTGATGGGCGTGAGGGAACGTAGGAGGAGCAGGAGGAGAGTTACAAGACAAGAATCCTTGGGCCTGATCGACTTGGGGAACAATTCGAAGAGGTTCCCGGGGAAGAAATCCTGCCGCAGCGAGATACGTTTTCTCCTGTCAGCAGCTCATGGCATGAAGAAGCAAGCGAGGGAGGGAGGGAGGGAAAGAGGGAGGGAGGTACGGAGGGAAGGAGTAGCGAGAAGGAAGGAGAGCGTGAGTGAAAGAAAGTGAGGTACAAAGAGGAAGGAGGCCGTACAGGCTCTCCTTGTCTTCCAGTAGACTCTCGTCGAACAGGAAGTAATAATCATCGTGCTTGCTATCAAATACCTTTTGCAAACATTAGAACCTTCTGCCTTCGATCACAAACACATGATCCAACGATGTCGATGAAATCCTCGAAGCTTTCATACTCCAGGCTTGTACTTCCCTTGCATCGCCTCTGCAACATGCTCCCGTCATCGCAGGTATGACATGTTGTCTCCTTACCTGGAACTCGATCTCGCTCCCCGCCATCTCCCCCACCAGCTCCTCGCACCAGCTCTCTCGCTCTTCCTGCCTCATCGCAATCGCGTTCTTCAACAACACCTTGTACATCCCTTCAACCATCAAGATAGCATTCTTCGATCCCCTTACCGGCCGCCCATCAGGCTGATCGTACAACCTCTGGAAGTCGGAGGGGGAGATGCGGTCTAGGTCAACTGTCTGCATATCTGATGCACCTGTATCAGATCCCTTCCTTGCAATAGCAGTGACTCGCCATGGATAGTGAAGCTGCTGCTGCTCATACAGGGCCGTCGAGGGCGAGGAGAGTGCGATGATCGGCTTCGAAGCTGATGGAGTTGCCGAAAGACAGGAAAGGGAGCGAAACATGGCGGAGTAGACGTCAGCAGAGGAGAGGAGGAAGGAAGCGAGTTGTGTGGAGAGAGGAGATGATGAGATGAAGGGGAGGAGGAGGAGAGTGTGCAGAGCAGCATGGTCAGGCCCCCTAGCACCAACAGTCGCATCGCCATTTTTCGCGTTCGAGATTTTCAGGGCGAGTTTTCGGGGGCCGGAAGGTAGGGAAAGTAGGGCAGAACTAGAAGGGGATACAGGGGGAGGGGGCATGGGGGGGGGTAGAGGAAGGAGGAGAGGAGGGGAAAGGTTCAGTGAGCATTGCAAGGAATCGAGGTAGAGGAGGAGGAGGCAGACTACAGGATTCTTGAAAGATTACTATATCATTTTGCTAATAAATGCCACTAACACATCAATCAGACAAGTCTACCAGAAAGCCGCTTGCTCGAACAGAGGAGCGTTGAAATCGTCAGCCTCCTGGCCCTGCACAACGACCCTGCGCTGCCAGCAGCAAGAGACTGCGGCCAGGGCATCACCAAATCCCTCCCGACCTCGGCCTTCACCAGAGGAAGCATGCTCGACTTTTCAAGGCTGCTGTCGTCGGGCAAGCCTGCCGGCTTCAGGAAGGTCTCGACCGCGTCGTTCTTCTCAGCATCAGAAGCCTGCATGCAGACCGCCGCCTCGTTAGGAGCAGAGATCACAGGAGACATCCCTTCACTCAGGCTGGACATGTTCGTAGCAGGAGTCTTGATGTCCACCTCCGGGTCCTTCCCTCCGAACTCGACCCACAGATCTTCGTCGATCAGGTCGTCCCTCATGCCATCCTCCGTCAAGGGCTCACTTGGGTCTTCGTACATCGCATCGCTGTCCTCTGTCTGAGATCCATTCACTGCATCCTCGTAGCGGTCTGCTTCCGAGGGCTGCTCCATCCCCTGCTCATTCTCCAGGGTCTCATTCTCAGCTGGGATGTTGAGAACCAGGCTGACTCTCATAGGTTGGACATGTCCTGGGATTGCAGCTTTCTCCTTGGAGATCCATTTGAATCGACGCTTCCCATCGGGCGTGCAGATCTCGCGAGCATTGGTCAGGTTCTCTTCCACGACCTCTGCTCCTTCTTCTTGCTCCTGCTGGCTCGCAGCAGCGTTTCGCTCTCGCGTCCACGCCTGCATCACAGCTCTCCAGTCGATGGCATGCGACTCAAGTTGAAGCACCAGTGCTTTACCTGGTATGAGAGGTCAGGCAACGCACCAACAAGAACATGACCATTACAGTGCTTGATGCCGACACACCGCAAGCACTCGTCCTTCCAGACCAACTTGCTTGACGTCCACTCTTCAGTCACTAAAGTCGGTTTGACTTGCGCGAGAAACCACTGGGCTTGTGCAAGAACTTCTTGGATCGTGGAACATGCCCTGGTTTTCTTGTCAAACTTTGACCAGACCTAAATTTGCGATGTCAACAAAGGCCGCTTGCATCAGAAAGCAGAAAATACCTTGTTATTGGAGGTTTTCACGCCACTAAAAGGTACTCTATCTGAGATATCAAGCAATCTTGGCACAAGGCGTTAATTCACAATTGTCGCAAAATTAGGGCTTACATGCTCGCAACTTGTTGAATAGAAGACAACTGTGGCTGCCTTGCCGTAGCAAATCGTCTAGTCCCACGTTTGCAATGGCGCTTGTTCTGTCTAGAGTAATGTCTCGTCCCTTCAACTTGGTATGAGGTCGACGAATTGCTTTTCTCGGGCCCTTGCAGCTCTCTGTTTTGAGAGTGAGCTGCAAATCCATCTTCATATTCTCTGATCCATCCAGTTGTACCGCAATCATCCACTTCGCACACGAAGCCCAAATGTGGATCTTTCGCACAAAGTGACGATGGAGAAGCAGAGGCCACACTTTGGGCGACCATGCTCGAGGACCTGAACAGTTTGCTGACGCACGCCTTGTTCAATCACTCGCAGGTTCAAGAGTTGGATCAGAAATCGCAATGGGTCTACCAGACACAACCGGAAGCCTGCTTGCTTCAACCCTTGGATGATCCTTTCAAGCGCACCGAGGCTCTGTGGCACGATGCAACCCCCAGCGAACAAAGTAACGAGGAGAAGGTTTTCAACACAGCTGCGTCGATGAGCACCAACAGCACAAATCAACAAGGGAAGAAGATCAACAGTAGGAATGTGAACTTATAGCAGCAATCTCGTCACTTCATTGTTCATTCCTCTTCGCATCCACACTCTTTCCCATGTGCTCCCGCCATAAACGCCGAACTCAAGTGACGCCGTCCCCGAGATTTTCGTCGTCTTCGAAAACAAAATTTTGAAGTTATATTTTCAATAATTGAAAAGCTATATTGAAACTTTGAAAATAATAATTTATTTCCAAATATGACATTGATAGTTGAAAATCATCAACATATATTCATAATTTTTCTCTAAATGTTTCAAAAATAATTCCAATATTTGTCCAATTCAATTGGTTTTGTCTCTAGAAACAGGCACATTTTTTTCAAACCTCTCGACTTTTTCACAAACCCTGCCAGCTAAGAACTACCCTACCCACCCCCTGAGCTCCGACCTTTTTTTCTTCAACGTCTACCACCTACACCTCCTACTATCTATTAATGCTCCACTCGATAAATGTTAGACATAGGAAGGCACTTCCCATCTGTGGCAAACTGTATACCCACCCTTGATTGACATATCATGATGGATAGGGGGTCAGATTTAGGTGATTATTTCATAGGGTAGGGTGTGTACCCCACATATGAAGCAAAAAAACATGCGTATACAGGGGGTTATCAAAGTTATAGAGGGGGTACGGTAATAATCACGTGAGGGGGTGGATACGATACAGGGTAGGTCTGCTACAGGGGGTGGGGTTCACTTCGAGTCACGGTCATCGCCGGGTCAGGTGGTCACGTGCCTCTTCTCGCAGGGCCTGGAGGCCGCCGGGCCCGGCCCCCGGGCCCGGCCTGCCTTTCTGGAGCCTCCTCGTCTCTCCCGGCTGAATGTCCTCGTACTGATCTTGACGGATCACATGGATCTTATATAGAGCCCAGACTTGCCGAACCCAAAAGGCTTCCGACTGTTCGATGGAATGCCAGACCAGAGCCTGAAGCGCCGGGATGATCCTCGGGGCGGACCCCCCTGGTTATCTGTATATAAGCTTGGGGTCTTGCCTTCCTCTCTCTCTCTCCCTTTCCCTCTCTTCTCCCTCTTTCTTTTCTCCTCATTCTCTCCGAGTCTCTTCTCTCTTCCTTTCTCACTATCTCTTAATCCTTTTCGGATAGTACTACGGTATCTCCTGTCCCGGGCCGCGCTTTCAGTCCGATCTCTGTTATCTTCCTATCCTTGCTCTGCTTATAAATACTCTTATCTCAGAAGTCAATTACCTACCTGCTCTAACTTCGCTACTGCATCCAATCCATCAGATCTTTAACTTAACTTTGAGTAAAGGGGCCAGTGCTGTGTGACGGTGGCCAAAATCCAAGCATCCAGACATGAGAGGACCTTAGTGACTTCACAAGAGAGTTTTTGTTAACTCGACGCTATCTGACTGGCACGGCTGGCATACGTTCCGGGCCGCCATCACCCGGTGATCGGGTGCATTCCGGTATGCGTCTCTGAGTCATTCCTTCAGCGGCGGCCACAGCGATGAGTCGCGAACTGAGTGGCATCATAGTAGCGCGGCCCGGCGGGGAATTGTCCTGCGCGCAGTTAAGTGAAGGTATCAGTTAAGTTTGGGGGACAGCAGTCGGCAGGATTAGTTTTGGTTCTCGCTGTCCGTCTTTTCTCTTCTCGCCGTTTGGCCAGTGCGACAGTGTCAGGGTCAAGCCTCCTCGACTCTCCGGGGTCCGAGCCTGATTGTCCTCGTACTGATTTTTAAATTAACTTTGAGTAAAGACCTTGTTAGTAACCGTTGAACCCGGTGACCGGCACTGCAAACTTGATACCGGGGCCGGCCGCGGCCCGTCACGCCACGCCGGCGGCCCGACTCACCGTGTCGCTGATCATTGGATGTGTCGCAGGCGGCGGTTGCTATGGCCTGAGCGTTGGAGGCAGGGTGACAGAGATGTCAAGACGGCATGGGGAAGCTGCGAGTCACAAACATGATGACGATCGTGATGAGCGACTGCGGGAGGCTGACTGACAACTGAGTTGACCTGGTTTGCCGCTGAAGCGACTTGGAGGAATGAAGGATCACTGTGACAACTCAGAGGATGGAAGAGTCGGAGAGAGGGAGGAATGAGTGGCATGCAGTCAGCACACTCTGCGATGCTGTCTGGCTCGTGGGAGTTTCATGAAGCAGACTGAAGAGATGTGTTTGTTGTGTTGGAGAGAATCAGCAGGAGTGGTCCATGATGCATAGAGTGTCAGGCAAACATGAGCTAGTGCAACACAAACTCTTGCATTTATAATATTCGGCACAAAGAAGAAGGATCTGATGTCTCGTTGTGTTGCAGATGGCGGCTGCAGTCGCACAGGGACTTGATCGCAAGATGCAACGGCGATTGAAACAAGGCCTCTCGGAAGAAATGGTAGATGCCTGCACTCAGGCTCCACACCCGCCCCTTGAACCTCCATGATGTTGCTTGTTCTGTCAGCTCTACGCGGTGCGGGACGTTTTCCAGACGTTCGAGTCAGGGACGGGGATACTAGATGTACGTTGCCTTTGACATGTGTTGACTGCGATCTGTTGGAGCTACTCTTGACGAAGTTGTGCGGGCAACAGGTGAACTCATTGCGAGCTGCGTTGAAATCGCTCGATCATCCTATTTCCCACCAAGAGGTCTGCCCATTGTGCCTTGTTGCGGAGATGAACACCTCACGGGCTGTGATGATACCAGGCCAAAAATCTAGTGCATGATTTGGATCAAGATGGCTGCGGTATCTCCTGTTATTTATTCTTCCATGAGACCTTGCGACCGAGTGTACAAACGAGCATTTACGGGTGATTGTTTCTTCAAAGGTGGAATACAATTCTATCAGTTCGCGGAATACCTCAAGCCGATTCTGCTGATGGACGACATGCGAACAAAGATAGAATCATACTTTGACGAGTTTGCTGAGGTTGCGTCAATTACACTGCTCGATCAGCGACTAAGACAAGAGTCTGTTAGGTTTTGCTCGAAGACGATGTGTCTGAACCAACTTCCGATACACAGAAACGATACTTGACGTGAAAACATTTGCAGTCATTTTTGCTTCTGATTGAATCTTCTTATGCAGCAAATCTAGCATACGGGCCATGGCAGATAAGGTGGGAGAGTTACTCCCGGACGAGGCAGGCAATTTAGTACTTGGCGACTGACAACTTACAACATGCGCAGGAAATCGAGGAAGTTCTTCAGTACGCGACCGATGGTGACGATAAGATAGACGTCAAGACGGTGAGCAGTCCATGGATTGTTTCAAGAATTTACAAAGTCTTACAAGTGCTCTAACAGCTTTTAAAAATTTGCAAGGAGCTACGCCTCTACTGATTCCGAATTCGTTGGAGCCAACTTGCAGGGTGCGGCCAAGAAGGAAACGGAAAAACGACGACAAAGTGGAATGTAGCATATCGAGGAAAGAACCAAAACAAGGATGTAGCGACGGACACGACTACTTGGATATGTCGTCCCCCCTCTCTCTCTTGACTTCAATCACCTTCTCTCGGCAGCATGGGCATGAATCTGCCCTGTTCAACCATTCGTGCAAGCACTTGGCATGGTATGAGTGCTGACATTTCTTGAAAACCAGTCCATACTCGCCTTCCGCAAAATCGCACAAACAGACTGGGCAGGCCACCGGCTCAACCTTATTTCCCTTGTCTCCTGAGCTTTGTAGCACCACTTTGGTCTCCAACGAGTCAAGACGGGCGGCCACAGTCGCAGGGTTCGTTCTTGGCTCGAAGGCAGACAGATCGAACGGGTTAGAGACGTTCTCAACCACTTCGATGCCCAGCGATCTTGCGAGATTATCCAACAAGAAGAGTGCGGCGGGAGAGCCGGAAGCGATAGAACGAAGTGGCGCTCCTATCTCCCCAGCCCCCCACACCCTCCGCCTGTCGGAATTCTGTCTGGGTGTTGAAATGTTCATCCCCAAAAAAAGCTTTTCCACCTGCGATGCAAGAGTCATTCACAGTGTTGAGCCGCAGCTTCAGGCATAGCAAAGGAAACAAGCGGGACATGGCGCTTTGCTGGTTGCAGTGACACGTATCTCAACTCTTGGCAAAGCGAAAGGATTCCATTAGTCTCCACATAATACACGCTGCCTCATCAATACCCTTGTTCGATGCTCTCTATACCTTGCACTCGCTGCAGATTTCTCCTTGAATTCGTTTCCATACCACATGATGCCGTTCTACGACCTCCCTCTTCTCACGGGACTGGATTTCCCAGTCTCTCTTTCCTCACCAGTTCCTGCTCTCTGCTGATTCCTTCTTTGCACTTCTTGTTTTATCAGTTCACTTCCTCAACCTCTTCTCATTCCTCTGCTCCTCATTCGACTACTGCTGTCATCATGTAACTTTAATTTTTTCGAATCTATCCTCATGTTTCACCTACAACTCTTTCTCCATCACCCTCCCAACATTCACATTAATCTATGTTTCATGTGCTCAACCTGCACCTGCCTCCTGTCTCTGCTCCAGCTCCAGCTCCAGCCCCTGCTCCAGCTCCTACTCCTGCTCCTGCTCCTGCTCCTGCTCCTGCTCCTGCATACGCCCGTAGCCTCCTTTCCTATCGCTCTGCATTGCGCTTTGTTCTTCAAACAGCCATGTTTGACCAGTACCCTACCCTTCAATTCGGCTGCTGTATTCCGATCGTACCCCTTCTTCTTTTACCCTACCCCTTCAGATGATATCCTTACTACCCCGTGGTCCTAGATGGAAAGCAACGTATTCACCCCTATGACCCGCATATCAACCTCTACCCCACCCCTACCGTCGTCGTTTACCACCTCGCCTACCGACCCAGGTACCCACTACCCCCTTCGGATATCACCCACCCTACCTACTGAGAAAGTCAATCGGGACAAGTTACCCCACCCTTCACTCCAAAATTGTACCCTTACCCCTGAATGAAATTATTAACCCCTCTTTTTCATAGTAAAGTCATCGAATCCAGGGTACCTGAGCGTTGAATAGACCACCCTCCACCCCTGTATCTTATACCCCTACCCCCAAGATACAGCCCACCCCGAATAGGAGGTCAGGACGGGCATCAACGGCGTCGAATTACCGTTACAAGGCATCTGACCGTTACCCCCTAAAGATTCGTGATGTGCGGACGCAGCGCTATGAGATGAGATGAGGTCAGTGAGGAGGGAGGAAGAGGAGGAGGAGGGAGGGAGAGGAGGAGGGAGGGAGAGGAGGAGGAGGGAGGGAGAGGAGGAGGAGGGAGAGGAGGAGGGAGGGAGAGGAGGAGGGAGGGAGAGGAGGAGGGAGGGAGAGGAGGAGGGAGGGAGAGGAGGAGGGAGGGAGAGGAGGAGGGAGGAGAAATACCACAGGATGGCAGGAGACGAGGTGGATGGAGTCCGTGGGTGTTGGTGGAGGTAGGAGATAGGAGAGGAAGGAAAAGAAGGGGAGAAGGAGGCGAAGAATTCCAGGAATGATTCCCCATCAGTTATATGGATGTTGATGTTGATGTCAGCCTGCCGACTTGATTGCGAAAGTGAGTGAACGAGGGTCAGGAAGTGATGAATTGTCACTGGAAGGGATCGGGGGGAGACTGGGCTGCAAAAGTGAGGGGAACGAAGTGAGAAGAGGGAGTCTGTAATTGTAAAAGATGTATTATCAACTGTATGATCAATCGTCACACTGACAAAGAAGTCTGGCAGCCTTGGGCTTCTGACTTGTTTCATCGTTGCGTTTGAGTACAAGCTTCCGAGAAACCTTCCGGTACATTTAAGATCATTGCGTCACTTGCAAGTGAAGTTTCCTTAGCGATGTCTTGCAAGCTCGTCGTTTGATCGCCCTTTCAAGTCGTTGAGCTCGAGCAGCTGCAAGGACGTGAAGTTTTCAGTTGGGCACAAGAAATTTCCGATGACGATGAAGATGAAGAGAGAAGAAGAGAAGTATTGTGTGCGGAGGGTGTTTTTTTGCTGGTGAAGGTAGTTTCTCAGTGCTGGCGATGATGCTTCGAGCTGTTGGGTTCCGCTCAACGCCAAGAGAGCAGAGCTACGACTGGATGCGACCTTGATCTGCGGGCAGAGCTTCCGGTGAGAACAGATGGAGCAGCCAGAGAAAACACAGCGAGAAAAAGATGGAGGAGGAGCGTTGGGTTGGAGGGAGGAGAAGGGAGCAGCAGGGAGAAGCAGGGAGGAGCAGGGAGCGAAGAAGCGAAGGAGCGGAGGAGCGAGGAGGGGGAGAGAGAGCATGCATGTTTGCTCGCAAGAAGGTTTGGGAGTGGAACAGGTTGGTGTGAAAGGATCGAGAAGAAGCTGGGGGAGGGCAAACGGCATGCGTGACTGCTGGTGGTGGCAGTTGGAAACAGACAGGAGAGGACGAATGGACTTGCGTGATATCAGGTGATAGGGAGAAAGAGGGGAAAAGGGAGGGGGGGAGAGGAGGTGGGGGTGGGAGGGGGAGGGGGAGAGGGGAAGGGGAGGGAAGGGGGAGGCAGGGAGGGGCAGGGAGGAGGAAGGAGGGAGGAGGGAGGAGGGAGGAGGGAGGAGGGGGAAGGAGGGAGTGACCGTGGTGCTAACAAGGACATAGATGCTCTTGTATCACTGAAGCAAACAGAAGACGACGTGCTCGGTTTGTTGCTCCTGATACTCCAGAGGGAGACAGTGACAGGCTTTCTGTGCAGTAACAACGTACATGAAGCATGAAGCCGCTGCAAGCAAGTTGAAGGGGAGAGCGGGAGAGGAGGGGGGAGAGGAGACGGACGTCAAAAGGACTCGACCGAGCGAGAGCTTGATGACGAGCATGAGGGATTATTTCGGACTTTCGACACCGCTGGAACCGCTTTACAACGAATGGGTGAGATGAAAAAGAAGATGATAGATATGTGTGAAACAATCCTTGCTCTGTTTGTACAAGAGAACGTACACTTCTCTTGTCCTTTCCATCCTTGCTATCTGTTTTGTTGTCCTTGTTTGCTCGCCTACTTTGCTCTGTCTGACTATCTTATCCTTATCCTTGTCCGCTCAGTCGAAAGCCGATGCGCAATGGGGCCAGCTCGCAGTTGCCTTCCCAGGACTTCGGGTGAAAATCTTAACCTGTTGACATCATGTTGTCTTTTCTTGTATCGTTCTCTGTCATCGCTGTTCAGCTTCGTGAGCCTTTTTTCCTTGATGTATGAAGTCCAGTTGATCTTCAATTCGTGCTACATCCTTAAAACTCCTGGTCTTGCCCTACCTCCTGCTCCTCCTCCTGCTCCTGCTCCTCCTGCTCCTGCTCCTGCTCCTGCTCCTCCTTCCCGAGTCATCGATGTTCGCTCTACATTTCTGCTTCCAGCAATCTTGCGCATTGCTCGTTCGAGGCTTCTTCTCCTCACCGGCTTTTTCTCGGCAGGTCCTTCGGCAAGATCCAGTGGAATGTCTTTTCTCGTTCATTTGCAGCTCCAACAACAACATTGCAAGAATTACATTGATGGTGATTTTTCACTCCTCGTCCTCGTCCTCGTCCTCGTCCTCGTCCTCGTCCTCCTCCTCCTCCTCCTCGTCCAAATCTTCCTCGTCCTCCTCGTCCTCGTCCCCCCTTTCTCGTTCTTGTCCTTGTCCTCCTTGCAACCGACCTGACGCTTTCGATCGGCATAGATCGACAGGCTCTGCAGCAAGTACGGGAAAAGGCAAGTTCAATCATTGAGAGGAAGGAAGAGCAGAGTCTGCAAGTGAAGTGGGAAGTGGCAGAAGTTGAGACGAGGAGAGACGAGACGACAACAGGAAGACACTTATTGAGATTATGCTGACTTTGGTTTCAAGATTCGGGAGGTACAAGAACATCGAATTCTTTTCCTTCCCAAAGGTTTTCTTGCTCCTGCTCTTGCTCCTGCTCCTGCTCCTGCTCCTGCTCTTGCTCCTGCTCCTGCTCCTGCTCCTGCTCCTGCTCCTGCTCCTGCTCCTGCTCCTGCTCCTGCTCCTGCTCCTCCCTCCCTCCTCCCAGCATCCCTCCTCCTTGCCCCTCCTCCTCCTCCTCCTCCTCCTTCTCCTTCTCCTCCTCGTCGGCTGATTTTTCTCCCTTGTGCAGCTCGAGAATCTTGCAAAGGCATCGGAAGAAGAATTGCGAGCGCTGGGTCGGCAAGTTTTGTCGTGACATGTGATGTAACATGTTGAAAGGTCTCGGATATCGCTCAAAGTATGTTCACCGCACTGCCTCCTTCCTCGTTGATGAGGTACGTGTTGTCGTTGTCGGAGATGATGATGATGATGATGATGGTGATGGTGATGGTGATGGTGATGGTGATGGTGATGGTGATGGTGCTGCTGCTGCTGCTGCTGCTGCTGCTGCTGCTGCTGCTGATGATGATGATGATGATGATGATGATGATGATGATGATGATGATGGTGCTGGTGATGGTGCTGGTGATGATGATGATGATGATGATGATGGATATCATGATGATGCTCCACTTTATCCTCACCCTCCTCCTTGTCCTCCTTGTCCTCCTTGTCCTCCTTGTCCTCCATCTCATTCACGTTCTCCTTGCTATGTTTGTCTCCCTCATCGTGTCAGTCAGGGAGGAGAGCCATGGCTCTTCGATCTTCGTAACGTCGATCACAAGGAGGCGCAAGCAGCTCTCCAGCAACTCCACGGTAATGAGAATGAGGAAGAGGAGGACGAGGACGAGGACGAGGACGAGGACGAGGACGAGGACGAGGACGAGGAGGAAGAGGAAGAGGAAGAAGACGAAGAAAAGGAGGAAAAGGAGAAAGAGGAGGGGGAGGCAGGGGAAGGCAGGAGGAGGCGGGAGGAGCAGGAACAGCAAGAGCATTAGCAGCATTAGCATCAGGAGCAGGAGGCGGGAGGAGCAGGAGGAGGGGGAGCGGGAGCGGGAGGAGGTCTGCAAGATGAGTGTGTGAGCAGGGGTGGGTGCGAAGGTTGCAGACTGCGTGTGCTTGTTTTCGCTCGACAAACCTTGTGCGATCCCTGTGGACACCCACGTCTGGCAGATCACCGTGAGGTAGTACTGGAGGAGAGAGGGAGAGAGGGAGGAAGAGGGAGGGAGGCACGCGGAGGAGACGGACGGAGGAGACGGACGGAGGAGACGGACGGAGAGGGAGGAGAGGGAGGGAGAGAAGCGGGAGGGGAGGGAGGGAGGGAGGGAGGGAGGGAGGAGCTGAAGTTTCTGCTGGTAGGGAGTTGGATCCTTCCTTGGCGGAAACGAAGAGTTTGACTCCCAAGATCTATCAGGTTTCTTCTTGTTGTTCTCATTCACCTTTCTCCCTTCAGATCAGATTCTTCATCCGTCCCTCCTCTCCTCCTCCTTCCTCCCTCCTTCTACTCTTTCATCCTCCCCTCCTTCCCCTCGATCTCCGTGCTCCGTCCTTCCTTCCTCACTCTCGATTCCTGCTTCGCTGCTCTCCCGTCTTCTTCCTCACTCTCGCTCAGCGCGTTGGAGATCTTTGGAGGAGCCGCTACGGAGAGCATGCGGGTTGGGCCCACACGATCCTGTTTGCTGCCGATCTATCCAAGTTCAAGACGAGAAAGTAGGAGGGAGGAGGGAGGAGGGAGGAGGGAGGAGGGAGGAGGGAGGAGGGGGAAGGGAGGAGGGAGGAGGGAGGAGGGAGGAGGGGGGAGGGGGGAGGGAGGAGGGAGGAGCTAATTTGAGCTGCAGGGAGGAAGCTCTGGGTGTAGAGAGCGACAAGCCCAAGTCTTCGAGGTCTCCAAAGAAGAAGCAGAAGGTGGAGGACCTGTGATGAAGAAGCAGAGCGAGGAGAGAGGAGGAGAGAGGAGGAGAGAGGAGGAGAGAGGAGGAGTGGATCGAGGGGGAGAAGATATCGGAGAGGAGGAGGAGGAGGAGGAGGAGGAGGAGGAGGAGGAGGAGGAGGAGGAGAAAGACGAAGGAGTAATCACGGAGGAGAAATCTCAAATTCTTTTGACTGGGATCTCATAATAATTTTGCTTTCACTGTACATGTTAAAGTTCAAACCTTCACACTGCCGGCTCCTCCAACTGAGTCAAAACCTCAAGGTCCCCCTCGTGCCCTCCCTCCTTCGCTCTCGCTTCCCCATCCCCTGTTCCTTCCTCCTCCTCCTTCCTCCTTCCTCCTCTCCTCTTCACTTCCCTGCGCTCTCCCTTTCTCCTTGCTCCCGTCCTTCAAGCATCTTTCTTCCTTTGCCTCTCCTCCCTCTGACTCTCTGCTCTTCTCTCTTCTCCTTCCTGTCTCATGCTCTCTCACCCTGTTCTGCCTTCTCCCTCCCCTGTCCTGTCCTGTCCTGTCCTGTCCTGTCCTGTCCTGTCCTGTCCTGTCCTGTCCTGTCCTTCCCTGCCTTCAATCGTGGTTCCTCATCGTTGGCGACTGATGATGTCGAGCAGCTCCATGCGAGTGTCTCCTCCTCTCCTTTATCTCATCCACCGATGTCTGCAGCATGTCCACCTTCTCCTCCAGCTTGTGCACGACCTGCAGCACCTGCCGTCCTCGGTCAGAACCCACCTGTACCCCAGCTGAGCTGCATCACCTGCGACAAGCTCGCCTGCATCTGGAGCAAGAGGCCCTCGTCTTATCAGGTGTCAGCGCAACAGCAAACGTGAAAAAACCTCATCGCTCACCTATCAATGCCACCGGGTTGCTGCAAACAAGATCAGCAATCTCCTCCTCCTCCTCCTCCTCTTCCTCCTCCTCCTCCTCCTCCTCATGATCATGCTCCACAACGCGATCTCTCTCTTCATCTCACCCGGCCTCGTTCCCCCCGACTTGTCCCTGCCGTGTTGGCAACTTGTGTCGGTCGATGGGAGAACCGTGCTGGGGGCTCGCAGGCCTCGGCGGGGAGGCGATGGCAGCAGACTGCCTGTGCTGCTCGGCAAGAGAAAGATTACTCTGATGGAACCTGCGCAGAGCTTCTATGTCGAGGTAGAAGGTGCGGTAGAGCCGATCCTTCTCCTCCTCGAAGCTCGCGAGCCCCTTGTTCGTCCTGCTGTACACCGAGCTCCTCCTCCTCCTCAGGTACGACATGCTGATCCTCCTCTCCTCGACACACCCGAAGGCCACGAAGCGCTTCCTCCTCCACCACAGCTGGATGATCCGGGCCGCCGACTCAAGGACGCGGCATCGGAGGTGGTTCAGGTCCATCTTGTTGAGCAGGAACTGCTCGTCCTCGCTCAGTTGCAGCGTCTGCGTTATGCTCGCCGTGATGAACGCGACGATGATCGGGCCCACGGACATGGCGGCGCATGAGGCGAACCTGCCGAAGTGAGTGACGGGGACGACGTCACCGTAACCAACCTGAGAGGATGAAGCAAGTCAGCGAAGGCTGCTCCGATCTCCACTTTCTCCTCCTGCTCCTCTCCTCGTCCTCCTTCTCAACGGGTCCCTCCTCCGGTTCTCCCCTCGTCGTCTCCTCCCCACGACCTTGAAGAACTTTAGTCTACTCTCGAGCCCTTACCCTTTTTCACGACCTTTTCTCACTTGTAACTCCTTGTACCCACCTCCTGTTTCCCTTACAGACCGTCCTACTTCCCTCCCCTCCCCTCCCCTTTCCTTCACTCCTTCCCCTCCCTCCTCCTTCCCCCCCCTCCTCCTTCCCCTCCCTCCTCCTTCCCCTCCCTTCCCTTCCTCTGTCCCCTCCCTTCTCTCCTCCTCTTCCTTCCACATCCTACCGTAGTAAGAGTCACGTACACGACCCACATCTGATCCCAGAGGTACGTGCTGTGCTCCTGGTACGCGGGGCCCTCGGCGATCCGGATGAAGTAGGTGATGGTGAGGATGACGCAGACGGTGAGGAAGGAGATGATAGAGATGGGATGGCGTTTGATCGCAACCTTCACCGCCAGCAGCCGGAATGAGAGGAGACTCTGTTGAACCATCTTGATCGTCTGCTGATCCCTGAGCATGTACGATTCCTGCATGCTGCCGTTACAGGAATTCCGTGGGAGCGGGACGAGCAGGAGGAAAGAAAAGGAAAAGGGGGGCGACGAGGACCATGAGGACGACGAGGAGGAGGAAAGAAAAGGAGTGGAGGAGCATGACGAGGAGGATCAGCAGGATCAGAGGAGGAGGAGGAGGAGGAGGATCAGGAGGAGAAGCAGAAGCAAGAGGAGGAGGAGATCAGGAGGAGGAGATCAGGAGGAGGAGATCACCTCCAGGTTGAAGTAGCGGAATTGAACTTTCATATGGACCCATCGCCAGGCATGGTACAGCCTCAGCAGCATCAGAGCGCATAGGATAGACTCTAGCCTGTAGTAGACGGTCGTCCCGGACATCTCGAGAGGACAGTCGTAGTTGAGGAAGGGCACGGTGTGGACGGCATTGATGAGGAGCTCGAGGTAGAGCCCCAGCCTCGACCCGATGCTGAGGCTGAATGCCTTGGGCATTCCCTTCCCTCCCTCTGCCAGCTGTTTTCGATCCTTCATCAGCAGGGACTCCTTGGACGACTCCAGCTGGGTTGTCAACTTGTACTGCACGATGACAAGGCCCATGATGACGGCTGTCATCAGACTCTGGACCAGCTTGAGGAAGTCGGCGATTGGTTTGTTGCACTTGCGGGGATTCTTGCTGAGGGACTCCATGTACTTCTCCTCCTCTGCGGTCAGAGAACGGTCGATGTAGTCTCCTGAGACACAGAGCTCGTTGATCATCACTCCCAGGAAGAGAGAGAGGACGGCAAGGACCGCCAGCAGCGTCTGCCTGCTCTTCAGCATCGCCGTCAGCTCTCGGATCTGACGCTGCTCCTTCGTGTGAGTCATCATGAGAGTCGCAACAGCCTCCTGCGAGCTCTTCAAGTCAGAACCAACATGAGGCGTCAACGAGCAAGGGCGACCTCGACCACGTGCCTCGGCGGCTTCATCTTGCTCTGACGGATGCTTTCCCGTATTTTGCTCCTCATTCTCACTGAAGGTCGAATGCTCCCAGCGTCTGCAAGGAACGCTTCTCGCTTCAGCTGGAACTCATCCACCTCTCTGCTGGGGAAGACAAACTCTCCCTGCACCGAAGAGTTCTCGCTGGAGGAGTTCTCCTGCTGCGGTGCCCTCGGCATCTTTCTGCGCAGGCTGTATCGGTTGTCAAGCTTCGAAAACTTGGAGCGGTTGCGGGCCCAATCCTCCTCCTCCTCCTCCTCGTCGAGATGATTCATGCTCAAATACTGTTCCCCTGGCTCTCCGTCCCGGAGATCGTGCCAGCAACTCTGCAGCTCATGATTACACAGGCATCAAAACTCTCAATCCTGTAGTCCTCCATTACATTCAATCCATCCACGTCAACTCATCGAGTTCAACCTCCCCGCAGGCCATTCCTCCCTTCCTCGCCTCTCTACTCCCTTCCTCGCCTCTCTACTCCCTTCCTCGCCTTCACCTCTTCTCCCTCCCCTTCCTCTCTCCCTTCCTCGCCTCTCGATACTCCCTTCTTCTTCTCCTTCCCCTTCCCCTTCCCCTTCTTCCTTCTCCTTCTCCTTCTCCTTCGCCTTCCCCGTCCTAGAAGCTCCCACACCGCCTGCTCTAGTCATCCATTGTTCTTTCTCTGTTGGCTAGCTCTGTCAATTCCCCAAGAGGGCACCTCGGGGCATGGCAATAATTTCCTAGTTGCAGAATAGAAAAATACCGAGAGATGGCCCCTTTCTTCTGTGGGAGTCAAATCAAATGCGACAACTTGTGAAAGCAAAATGACTTTCAAATCGTCAAGACATCCAAATTGCGACTGTTGGCTACTCAACTTTATGCACCAAAACACTCAACGTGCTCCGCCGGCCCCCCGGGCCTTCCGGCCCGGACCCGGCGTCCGACTAGGCCTAGTACGTTCCGACCGATCACGATCCGATCAGTAGTACCGTCCGACGGGCCGTACCGCCGGGTCCGACCGGCCCGGCCCGCCGCCCGCACGACCGGGTTCACTGAGTCCACGCCCGGCCCGGGCCGCCGCCCGGGCCGGCCCACAGCCTGCCGGGCGGCTCAGCATGCAGTTTTGAGGCGGGCTCATTATGATCATGAAATATTTTGGAGGAGGGGTGGTCAGGAGCCGGTAGTATGGCTGGACAAGTTTTTTGCACCCCACCCTCAGCTGGTAGCCTCCAGAGACTAGGAGAGAGGGGTGATCAAATAATTGGGGGGTACATTGGGGGGTACATCCCCGATTCACTGGGGTCAATGTCACCGCTACCTTACTTCATGACCCCTCCTCTCGACCTTGACCACCCCCCCATTTCACACTCACCTTACCGCCCCCTTGTCACTTGTTTTTTTTTTTTGGGCTCGAATTAGCGCCTCACGACCGTTGGCGCCGAAAGGCGGGCGATTTTAAAATGCTCCTAGTGTCTAAGGGAAACAATAATTTTGTTCTAGTACTGCAGGACCATTATAAAATTCCAATGACCAGTTATACATCGGAAGCGGTACTGGGACCTCCTTAAAAACTATTTTAAATACAAACATTTTAGCACTACCTGTCAGCAGCCACAGCGCTCCACACAGCAGGGTTCCCCCTTCCATGCTGGCGAGCAGGGCGCGGCAACGGCTCCTTCCCATCCCCCCTTGTGTCCACCTCTCAATGCTTCCCTTCCCCTGACGTCTCCTTCCGCGCTCTTTTCTCCCCCCCTGCAGTAACCCGCACTGTCACCCCTTATGACCGATTGGATGACACTCAATCGCACCACTCTTGCTTCCCACTCATCCTACTAGAAACCTCCCTTCTGCTCTCAACGGTCCCCCCCCTCTCTGTCGTCCATTCCTTCCGTAAGTCAATCTTCCATTGGCCTTCTCCGGTTCCTTGCAACGAAGCATGTCCCCCATCAGCGTGTGCGTGACAATAGACAAGAGGAGCTGGAGGAAGCGAAAGGAGGATCGCAAATGCAGCCCCAACCTGAGCACGGACGGGGTGCTGAATACACACAAGGGGTCGTTTCACAGAAAGCATTCCCTGACAGTGATGGATATCAACCATGCCACCAAGGGTGCGAGCGGCGCTTCGCTCTTCTACTGTTCTCGGCCTCTGGAGGCAGCTCTGACAAGGAGACCTTTCCAGTTGATCATGCTCGTACTTGGAGGATACAGCCTCTTCTCTTTCTTCGCTTGCTGGTCCTTCGTACCTCGACATGATCATATCTCCGAGCTCCGTTTCATCACCTTGACTCTGAGAGGAGGCGACGACGTGGCCCTTGCGAGGGTCGGATCGTTTGGAGCTCTCTTGTATGGCAAAGAGCTTCGCCCGAGCAACGCTTCTCAGAGCGGAGCCATCGTTTCTTTGCAGTACGAGCACACTGTCTCAATGGACGGCTGGTACTTCACAACCAGCGAAGCTGACAAGCAACTCGATCCGATAAGGTTCCGTGTGGAAGCATATGACGTAGTCAAGGGCAAGTGGAAGGTTGTGGGCTCGTCAAGCTATCTCGTGTGCGTGAACACGTACATCTTTCTGGACACTCGTTTCCGCACCAACGAGACCCGAGGCTTCCAGCAGGTTTTCCAGGTGCAAGCGAGGAGCGCTTGGCCAGAGCTGATGGACAAGCTCGTAAGCGCCTTGTGCTTCTTCATCGGAGCTTTTGCTGCTGCTCATGGTCGTGCAGCCTTCGCGGCAAACTTGGCCGTCTGGACTTGTCTGATCCATGCCGTTGACTTCTTGTTCCTGGCGTCCCAGTCGTGGCTGTTCGGAACCAGGGCAGCGCCAGGAGACAAGAGCACATACCTGCTCGTGGTGCTCGGGATGGACTGGGTCTTATCCTTCGTTCTGCTTAGATGCCTGAAACAAGAGCATGTCGCTCGATTCTTCCAGATTCAAGGGTTCGGCTACTTCGTGCTCTTTCTCTACATGCGAGGTAAGCCCACGTTTGGCTCAGCAATCGGGCATGCATACATCATCTGTTCCATCATCTTCTATGGGGGCGTGGGGATCTCGATACCGGCTTTCCGCAGTTATGAACTCTGGAGGGCAAAGCGGATGATTCAACCCGACGTGCTGCAGTACGAGGAGCTGTGGAGAAGATGTTTAAATACTCTCAGCCAACAGCTTGACCAGCTTGGCGAAGTGATCAGGCTCTACGAGAGCGCCTGCTCTGAAGACGGCAGACAGTACGTGCAGAGCTGTCCGACATCCTCTGGTCCTCTCGTGCCGGTCAAGAGCCTGGAAGAGCTGTACTCGCACAACGAAATCATCTCTGCCATCCTGAGGTCCAAGGTGCTGACATGGGCTGCGCGATGCGACGGGCTGCTGCATGCCATGGAGGAGCTGATCAGCGCGAGGGACTGCGAGGGCCCTGAGATGATGTCGCTCGTTAGATGGAGCCCTACCAAGAAGAAATCGCGGGTTGTGGAGAAGGCCTTTAGGCTGTATCACGGGGACTTGTCAAAGGTTCTAGACGTCGTGAGGGAGTGCATCATCTTCAATCGAGTTGAGGACCTGAAGGAGTGTATAGAAGAGATCTTCCACGACGAAGACATCGAGTTTGTTCGCATCAAGAACCGTCTGAGCAAAGATCACTGCGCGCAAAGCACTGGAGGCTACAGGGATGTGCTGTTGAACCTGAGGCTCCGCTCGTTCATCTTCAAAGTTGTTGAGGTTCAACTTATCTTGCGGGAGTTCTCAGAGCTCAAGAGCGATGAAGGGCATGCGCGATACGTACAATACAGGAACTGCCTCTGCTCGTAGAGGCTCCTTTTTGCCATGTTGTCATTTTGAATTTTTCGTCAATCTTGAGGAATCAGCCGATCAGACGCCTAATGTAGGCAAAATGTGCCAAACTTGCTATCGGAGTTGTCCGATTTTGAGATTTTAGATCATCTGGAAGCTCTGATTGCGATTTTGAAAAAGCTGTGATTGCGATTTTAAAGTAATGTCGAAAGTATGTTATAAATGAATGAATCACTTGAAATTTGCATGCCGTCTCCGTCTTACACTGATTTATGTTACACCGATTTGTGTTTGTTCAAATGTTTACTTAGACTACTACTTGATCGATGATTTTAACCAAACAAAAAAGAAATGCATCTTGACACGATGCAGCTTGTAGCATTTATGATACATCTCTCTAGGTTTTCACGTGGGTGCGTGAAGCTAGCATACACGGGGGACCGCAAGCAACAAGAGCATGGACGAGCACGCATGCGGGGCCATGATCACCTGGTCGGCAGATCATGAGTCCTCGATCACGAAGCCTCCTTCAAGAAGCCCCTCGCTCATCTCAACTCCATCAGACTCTAGCTCTGCCCTCGTCTTCATCGCCAGCGACCTCCAGTCGATGCTCATGATGTAGATTGACAAGCTCGTGAACAGCAGGAACACTCCCCACACCTGCCCCCACCACAGACCCAGGATGCCATGGCCGTAGTAAAAGCTCATCGTGAGACCCAAAGGGATCCCGATGAGGTAGCAGGCTACCAGGTTCGCAACCAGCCCCACCTGCTGCTTCCCCGAACCCAGCAGGATCCCGGACAGAGCCCCGTACCCCGAGTTGAACAGGAGGAAGAGCATCAGGGCTGGCGTGCATCTCGACACCAGGACGAAGGACTCCTCGCCCTGAAGGAAAGATGTCACCCACGTCCCCCTGCTTGCCCACAGGGGGACGATGATGAAGAATGCCGACAGCAGCGCCAGGAACACCGCCATCCCCGCTGACCTCTGCGCCGCCACCGGCAGCCCAGCCCCCAGCGCGTTCCCTACCCGAGTCCCTGCCGCGATCGCGATCCCCTCTCCTGTCGCGTACATGAAGTACGAGAAATTCACCAGCACCGTCTGCACAGCCGTCGCTGTCTCCCCGAACGCGCTCCCTACCACTCCCAGCACCTCATACGACCACCACTCCAGGCACACCATCCCTGCTCCCGTCAGCGCTAACCCCGCGAAGCCCCACAGCCCTGCCTTCGCCCCCCAGCTCCAGCCCTTCCACGTCTTCTTCTGGTAACCCCCGGCTGCGATCAGCCCTAGGAACACCACGTTCCCGCACGTGTACGCGCACAGCACCGCCACAGGCGCCCCGTACAACCCAAGCCCCAGCATGTCCCGCTCGATCAGCAGCCACCCGAACATCCACGTGAACACCAGCACTGCGCATGAGACGGCCGTAATCGGCCGCAGGATCCCCTGCGCCTCCAGCCACACCTTGAGCAACTGCATCAGCGCCATCGGCGGCAGCGTCAGGATCTGCCAACGGATGAAGCTCCCCGCCATCCCCGCGATCGTCGGAGCGATCCCGCAGGCATGGAACATCTGCCCTGCAAATAGCCACAGCGTTGAGATAGCCGCCAGCACCACCCCCGCCACCACCATCGCCTGCTGCAGCAGCAGACCCACAAGCTCGTACTTCCTCGCCCCGTAGGCCTGCGACCCCAGCGTCCCCAGCGCAGTCGACGCGCCCGTGTACACTGCATGCCCGCTCATGTTGGATAGCATGAAAGCCAGCCCTGCCGCAGCAAGCTCTCGCTCCCCGAGCTTTGCCACGAAGGCCAGGCACACGATCTCCACACCCGTGTCGAGAGCATACGAGACGGTGGGGGGTAAGGCATAGACGAGGAAACTCCAGAACTCCTTACGGAGAGCTTGCCCGTCCAAGAGACGTGCCTCAACAGTCTGCTGCTGGCTCACTTCATATACCTTGGGTGTTTTGAAAATCTCAAGAATCTTTTTCGAATGGTGCGGCGTTGAACCAGATTTTTGCACGGTCATGGATGAGTTCTTTCTTTCGAGAGATGGCGGTGAAAGGGCCCTGAGTCTTTTGTAGTCCGGATCGCAGCTGGTTTTCTAGAATGAATTTTGAGAAAATCTCATCCTGTAAACGTTTCAAAGAAGTGTCAGCGACCGATATGCCGGGAGCAACAATTCTCGATGGCCATCAAACAATCGAGGCCACAAAACAAGAACCAAGTCCTTGAACAAGAACCATGATAACATCTGACAGGCAAATGATGTGGCAAATATCAAAACTGGCAAGAGGATCTCCCTAGCGAAGCCTCACTGAAAGGTGGAAACGAACAGGACAAGGATAACATTTCGTCACAACGACTCAAAAAGGTTGAAGGCTTTCGCATCCAGGAGCAGTTCGATCAAATGATCCTAAGTCCTACTACTCAATCATATGTCGACTCAGGAGTATACGGAGACAGGAGATGGAATAAGAGCGCGACACAGAAGCAGCACCTAGGAGAAAACAACGCGGGCGTTATGGCTCAGAAACGATTCGCCTTTTCGTCACAACTGGACTAATGTTTGTAGGTGGAGGTGGAGATGGATTGGGATCAAGAAGAGTTGCTGTAGATTATGACATCAAGAGCAAACGAGTAGGTGTAGAGGAGACCAGACAAGAGCAGAGGCGCGGAAAGGATAACATAGCCGCCTGAACCATCAGCTGGTGGGGGAGGAGCAAATTATCATGGGGGTGGGGGGTGATCAGATGCTTGTCTAGGGGGTAGTATGACAGGAAAAAGTACCCCTTGCATTGACAGACAATCCAAAGGGGTGGTGAAGATGGGAGGTACTACATTTCAGTAGAGTGGGTGGTGATGATACCGGTACTTTATACTAAACATTTACCAATTTTGCAGGGGTGGTCAGATCGTCGGTAGTGGGGTGGGTGATGCCCCTTCTTTCCCCAACAGATATTTTTTTTTGTTTCCCAAGACCCCTCCATTTCTATGGGGAAAGACCCACCTATGATGGGTGGTACACATTATGCTCTCCACCCCTCATTTTCCCACCCTGAACAGGGAATCTGTGGGGTACTGGAGCGAATCCTATAAAAGTCGAGATATTGGTCTCGAAAAATAATTTAATTGTTCAAATCTTCTAGTTATATGCACCCAGTATGGTACAAACTTTCATATATATAGTTTTAGACGACTCCTCGCCCATTGTAGCCTCCCCCCACATTCTGTACTTACAGGGCAGAACTCGTTACAAAGAGAACATTACTAGTACAAAATTCCCCGTTATATATACTTTTATATATTGTCTGTACTGCGATAAAGTCCTTTTCCATTGTACATGGCAACATGTGGTAGCACCGTAGTTTTAAAGCGAATAACTTGAAGATGGACAATTTATTTGAAATTGTATGATATATTTCCAAATAACAGAATTAAATCTTTCACAATTTTGAACAAATTGGTTACCCACCCTGTGATCCTGCATATCCCTCCTAGAAGATACCGGTGGTTCATCCCCCTGCTCCTCCTCACATCAAACAGGATCTCTGCTCCTGAAGCCGCGCTGCCTCCCTAGAGACTGGACCCGTCTCTCAACCGCTTCTTTGTTCAGAACTAGGGAGAGTCTTCTCTCCCTCCCTCCTTTGCCGCCATCTCGTTTCAACACCCGTTTGATCGCTCTGGCGAAACTCAAGAAAACCTGGTTTCTAGCGAAGGAGCATTTTTCCCAAACATGTGGCAGCCACCACCATCGATGATGAACCCTTACTTCATGCACCCTGCCTTCATTCCGTACCCGTATGTATACCCAGTCTATATGCCCCCAATGCCACCACAACCACCACCTCCGCAAGTGCCGCAGTTGACCAAGAAGCAGCTGAAAGCAGAGAAAAGGAAGAAGAGGAGATTAGCCAAAGCTGAGGTGCTTCTGTTGCAGGTTGCTGCACATGCTGTCTCTGATACTGATCTGCAGGGCTGCCCTCGAAAACCCGCGACCTCCTTTGTAATGTTCTCCAATGCTCACAGAGAGGAAGTGAAGAAGGCAAACCCCACGTTGCCCATGATAGACATCGCGCGGAAGCTCGGCGAGATGTGGAGAGAGCTGGATCCCATGATACGCAAAGAGTGGGAAGACAGGGCAACGTCAGCAAAGGACGAGTACCTCGAGGCGAAGAAAGTATGGCTGGAACAACGGTCGTCCAACATTAATGGACTTTACAAGGATGAGTAGTTTAAACGACTTTTCCCGATAACGTAGGATTGTCTATCTCACTACAGCAGGAAAGCAACTTAAATGTTTTTGCCGGCGATAATGATGGCAACCAGTTAAAAATACTTCAATTTTGAATAGTGTGAATGAATGCTTTGAATACTTAGACTGGTATCTTCTACGCGTGCCCTTGATCACGGCACAACCTACAATCAGCCCTCACTGCTGAGATTTGCAACAGGACACCATCCAGCTCAGGAGAATGCTATTGAGGCGTCAGCATGGATGCCAACTCACTGTACCCAGCTGCATCGGCATGATCAGCCGCCGTGAACCCAGTCCTGAGCAGGCGCTTGTCAGACTGTTGTCAAAGCAACATCTCATCAGCGAGCTCACTTGTCTTCGGCATGAAGAACCGATCCTAACTTGATGAGCTCGTGTACAACTTCAACCCTCCCTCCTGACGCTGCAGCTGCGGCCATCGCTTCACCATTACGTGTCGAGCGGCAATTACACTGCAGACCGTGCAAGGGAGTCGCCCCATAGTTGTTGCTGGAGGCAGGAGACGAGCCAGCGCGTACGAGTTCCCTGCAGAGAGCACGAGAGCATCTCTTCAGGAGGCTTGGAGCATGCAACAGGACAGGAAGGGGATACCGCACTATCTCGACGTGGCCATTGTAGGCTGACACGTGCAATGCTGTGTCCCCGTCTTCGTTTGCCTTGAGGCAAGAGAAAGTGAGAGGGGGTGAGCTGTCAGAGAACAAGCACGCGTTCATGCATCAGGAGACAATCAGTACCACGTTCATGTCAGCCCCGCACTGGAGGAGAGCCTTGACAAGGTCAGCCTGACCTTCAGCTGCAGCTGCAAAGAGGAAGCTTTGCGCAGTCTCAGAGGAACCGAGTGAGGTATGAGGCAACACCTTGGGCTCTCGACACATGCCTCATTCACACATGACAGAGGAATTCGAATTTCTTCTCCGTAGAGCTCACTGACAATCACATCATCCTGTATCTGTCAAAGGCATCAGGCGCGGATCCAGCCATGCATGTCATTGTTTTACGAGAGTCTGGGCGACTCGCTCATGATTCGCCACTCTGTTTTCTGCAAAGATCGTGAGAGCAAGGACGAAGAGCAGCAACAGCCCACCCTCCGCTTGACTGCTCCCTCGAAGCATCGCCGCTCTCTTCCGCAACTCTTCCTGAGCGATGCCTCCTTTCAACCGCAGAAGTCGAGCTCCTCCACCCCCCATCCATGCCGAGTCGATCATGGTCGAAGCAACCATCGCCAGGTGGCAGGCCGCAAACACGAGGATCAAACTTGCCCTAGTCCCTCCCTTCATCCTGAAGTCTTGCCTGCTTCACCTGTCTGCTTCACTCTTGTTGCTTGCTACTCTGTTCTATGGCCTTCTTCAACTTCTCCTCTATCTCGTCAGCAGAATGTCCCACGTAAGATCCAGCAATGCCAGGTGTGTTGGTTCTCCTGTTATGATAAAAGTTCCTCGTGCCAACCTGTGCCAACAAGCTCAACAGACGCTCCCCGTGCCTTCCCCCACACAACTCACAATCACAGCGATGATCGCACATATCGTGAGCCCTTCCACTACCGCATGCCTCTTGAACTTGTAGGAGCCGAAGACCTTCCTCCACGTCATGTTGCCGATCCCACTAGAGGGCAGGAGGGCAGGAGGGCAGGAGGGCAGGAGGGCAGGACCTGCGGGGCGCGAGGAGAGGGAAGGGGATGCGGGGAGGAGAGGATTCTCCGGGCAATCGCCCCTCGTCCCCGCTAATACCAGCTCATCTCCCTCATTCTCACCCCCGCCTCTCAGCACCATGGGGAAGCGCAAGTCGGCGAAGAAAGTGCAGAAGAAGGAAAGACCCAAGTACGAGCCCTCCTCCTGCTCCTGCTCCTCCTCCTGCTCTCCCCCCCCCTCCCTCCTCCGGCTCCTCCTGGTCCTCCTGCTCCTCCGGGTCCACCTGCATCTACAGCTCTACCTGTACCTACAGCTCCAGATACACCTGCATATATATATATATATATATATGTATATATATATATATATATATATATATATATATATATATATATATATATATATATATATATATATATATATATATATATATATATAGATATATATATATATAGATAGGGGTATCTATATATATATATATATACATATACCCATATATATGTATATATATATATATATATATATATATGTATATATATATATATATATATATATATATGTATATATATATATATATATAGATATATATATATATATATATATATATATATATATATATATATATAGATATATATATATATCTATATGTATATATATATATATATGTATATATATATATAGATATATAGATATATATATATATATATATATATATAGATATATATATATATATAGATGCATAGATATATAGAGATACAGACATATATATATATATATAGATATATATATACATATATATATCTATATATATATATATATATATATATATAGATACG